ATATAAAAGTGAATAGTTCAAACCACAGTGAGTGAATTATAATTTAAATCCAATTTATTTACAGGGATATTTTAAATATTAAAGCGGCCATCACCACTAAAAAAAATGTTAGGACGAACATGAAAACATTGAAATTTACCTCTTTGAAAACAACCTTTTTGATTTTGTCCAAATCAAATATCTCCAATCAATAAATGTGATTAGGAAAATATGAAATGAGTTTTAATTCCAATCAAAATCATTTTTATTCAAGCAACAATTTATCGCATTCATTTATATAGAAACTTTCGTGCAAACATCGTTTTTAGAATGTATATTGATATTGACTTCTTTGTATTTGTAATGTTGGTGCCAAAGCAAAAGCAAGCGTAAAAACCAATTGGATGATCTCCATGATCTAAATTGCAAATTTAATTATTATTCATCAAATGATACGACTCTTTCTACTTGCCTTGTACTTGTTCCGCTTAAAACAATATTTTCATATTATTATTAGAAAATTATGCATTTTAACAGGATCTGTGGACACTCTTGATAGTTTCCGGTATGGATAAATATGAATTCTTCAATTGAAATATACAATTTAATGTTGAAATCGGCTATAATATGGTGAAATTGGGTAAGATGTGAATAGCCTAAATTTCAAATTAACTACATCGTATATTTCAAATACATAAAAATGTTCGAAATTCATCGGTACTGTCATAACATAAACCAAATTGAAATTGCAATTGAAATTTCATTGAAGTAAATAAATTTATGTTCACGGCGGATATTTGCACATTTATATGTTAATTTTGCTGGATTTCTGGTGATATCTTATGCATATGATGGCATTGACGGCGTTTTGTAAACAATTTTGAGCTTTTCTCATAGGTAATGTCTGGCGTAATGTCATTTCTAGTCAAAATCTTTGACGCCTAATCGATTCTCTCTTTTTTTTTCTTCAAATTACGAATTTTTATTTGCTTACGCGCAATAACGAGAACATTACAAAGATTCTCGGATGCAACACTTTGCTCACCTCCTATTCAATTTAATTATATCTTTAATTGATATGAATTTAATTAAGTTCATTAAAATAATTTAACAATGTTTACGATCGGTGAGGTTCACATTGATTTCTAATAGATTTTATTTTATTTTCTATTTTATGAGCTCATCTCTCATTGTTTTGCACATTTTTCGGAGAGAATAGAACGCAAACACGATTGAAGCTTGTGTAAAACATATAAAAGCGATCTCAAATCATACTCTGATATCAGTTGATCGTGCAAATTCGTTCGTATCAATATTTATCGAAAAGTGTTTAGGAAAAATGGTGAAGATCTTGTTTGTAAGTGCCTTATTTCGCTCTGAATTGATTCAACTGTAATTGCAAAAGTGATGTTTTTTTATTTGAATATTTTCAGGCGATTTTCGTGATTATTGCCATGGTGTTATCGGCAATGGCCATTCCAACGCCAGAGGCAGGCAAAGGGGGATATGGTAAATTGAAGTGTTTCAATTAAAAATTTGTGTACATAGAACGATGGGCAATTTTTCGTGGTATATACAAAAACGAGATCGTGCCATTTTCTTTTGCACAAAATTTACACATTTTTCGTTTGGAAATTATGAAAATAGAATAAAAATCCGAGAAAACACATTTTTTTTGCCCTAGGAAATAATGGATACGGTGGAGGTTATGGTAATAATGGATATGGTGGATACAATAATCACGGTAAGCATTGTTTTCCCTTTTCAATGATAAATATTTAAAAAATCCAACATTGAAAAATAGAATTTCAATTGGAATGAGGAAACAAATGTTGAAATTTTCACCGTGAAAATATCTTTTTCTTCTTTTTTTTTTGAATCAGTTTTCACTTTTTTTTTGTGTTAAACTGTAATTTCCTGCGTTTATTTATAATTTTCATTTTAAATTACAATCTTATAACTTAATAATTATAGGTTTTAGAAAAACACGAATTCAAGTTTAATTAGCTTTCAATCGTAGTAAATGTTATTATAGCTCATGACGGAAAAGTAAAAAAATTGCGAATCTGTTAACGAAAAAAAATGAAAGGGAATTATTAATTATTAACCGGTCATTAAACTAAAACAAAGTGCGCATTTGTATACGAAAACTGATGGGAATTGTTTTATTTTATTGTTTAGGATACGGCGGATACAATAATCATGGTAACTACAATCAATTTTACTAAAGTATATTATCGTTTGTCTTCGCTTATGAAAAGAAATTTGAATATGATGTGACAAGAATAAACATTTTTTTATTACGATCGATATATGATAATATTTTCACATAGTTTATTTGTTATACCCGCATCGATTCATATGTGAGATGTATCACTTTCATTTTCTCATATAATCAAAAGTTCATGTGACACCGTGAAATTGCGCTATTTCATTTAGAAAATATTTATCGTTTAATCATTTAAATCGTTGCGGTGTACAGGTTATTTTTATTTGCAAACAAATTAGTCGCAGCCGAAAAATCATCGTCAATGTGAGCTCACAATTAAAAATGAGTGTACACAGAAACAAATATCCGAGTACGGTTACTCGCACTTGCGGTGTTAGCAAAAAGTCTACCCTTCAAAATAAGTTACGCACTCTATTTTACTCTATTTTTGGTGTTAATTTCATCCAAGTGAACACATCATAGTGAAATAAGAGATACATGTGTGGTCATAGCCGCATGCGTTCAACGTACATATGACTACACATGTATCTCTTCTTTCACTACGATGCGTTCACTTGGATGAAATTAACACAAAAAATAGAGTAAAATAGAGTGCTTAACTCATTTTGAAGGGTAGACTCTTTGCTAACACCGCAATGGCGAGTAACCATACTCGGATATTTGTTTCTGTGTAATCTGACAAAACTGAAAAATCCAACGATTTGTTGTGTTCTGTTATCAGCTGTCTGAAAAATTCCCATGTCATGAGACATTTCTCTTTTGATCACATTTAAAATGATAAGAATTAAAAATGTTTTTCATATTTGCAATTATTTGCGACAAAAAAGAGAATGATTTAAATGAAGTAAATTAATTTTATCAATGTTTTGACTTCAGGCTACCATCATGGAGGTGGACACAACAATGGTTACTATGGTACGTGTTCAATAATCGAATTTGGCTTTTGCAAATGAATTTTGAGAAAATGTTCAAAAAAATTATTCACGCAGGTGGATATAATAATCATGGTTACAACAATGGCTACAATAATGGCTACAACAACCATGGCTATCATGGTAACAATTATGGCTACCATGACCATTACTAAATGAGATGCCTCTTCAGAACTTAAATGAAGATTTTTTATTCGTCTTATGCAATTTTATTTATTCAATAAAAATCTATTTATTCGACGAAAACAATTTCAAATACACTTCTTTATGCTGACGATTGAAATTATTAAATGGGAATGTAAAGAAGGGGAAAAAAATAAATAAATGAATAAATGGCTTGTCAGCCAATCGAGAAAGTTAATAAAATGTGTGTTTCAATGAATGTACGTGTGATGAGGAGAGAAGGGTCTTTTATTAAGTCGAACGAATGGAAAGGCTATTTATGAAACTAATTGCAATTCATTAGAAGCTGTCAAAATCAATCAAACTGGGTTATCAAGTTGCTAGATTGTGTATTTCGCGATCACTCAAAGGCGATCACTTGCGTCGTACAGAAGACAAAGTGATTGTTGTTTTGTCAATGTTATTTAATCGTTCAATTGGTTTGAAATTTTTGCAAATATAAAATGAGTGCAAGCAAGTATTTGGTGAGAATTTTTTGACCGTTTCTTGTGAGAGTAGCATAAAAAAACTTAGTCATTTAATTGTTGTTTTTTTTTTGTAGTTTTTGTGTTGTTTTCTGGTATTAACTGTATGGGCAACAGTGAATGCAGAGGATATACGCATCGATTGGGTTGGTGAACCGAATCATTCACAACCACAAGATCCGGCTCCAAAACATCAAGAAAACAAATTGAAAGCAACAAATGAATACAAATTACAACTGGCGAATGAACACGGGCCATCTTATCAAAATGAAATTCCAGACAGTGATAGCAATGACGATGATTTACAACAACGACAACAGCCCGAACCAATTTCACCCATTTTTGGAAGAGGAACATATCTTGAATTTGTTGAACAACGAACATTGAAACCATAACTTTTAATTATTATTTTTAAAATTTTGTGAATGGATTTCCAGAAAGCGAAATAAATGACGTGCTGTTTAGTAGAAAATTATGATTGATTTTGATTTGGTGCATTTTTGATGAACATTTTTCTAAGAAACCGATATGAAATTATGTAAAGGTATTTCTTGGAATAATGTTAAACTTTATATTTGCTTTATAATTTTGAAGAAAAACAATCGGAAATATATATCAACTTGATATTATCAAGTTCAATACCATAATGGAAACGTACAATTTGTCACGGTGGCCGATTGAATTATGTAGCTAAACTGGTCTAGTTTTTTTGTTTTTCTTTTTGACATTCCATTATTTTGTTATAAATATGTTGCACCGTGCACACTGTAATTAGTCTAAAGGCAAAAAACGATTGAAACAGTTAACAAACTAAAACAGCTATCGCAGAAATGATTGGGATTAAAACATTTTTGGTAATTATTTTGGTAACAATTATAAAAATAAAAATATAAAAAAATAACTTTATCGATGTAGATTTCCCTGGTGATGTCAGCCAGCATATTGTTCGTTGCTGGAAATCCAGCCCGTATCGGTCATCATTCACATCACCATTCAATGCACCGAGGTCCGTTTGGTATACATACACACCACAGCTCACATCATACACATGTACCGGCACGCTTACCACTACGTCCGCTCATTGGATAAATTGCTGCCTTTCAACAATCATATTCAACGAAATAAGAAATAAAATGATATGAACCAAATAAACTAATCGAAATGATATAAGGAACTGAAAGTTTTTTTTTATTGAAATATTAATGTAATTTAAAAATTCAATTCTTTTCATCGTTTTTTTTTTGTCTCATCAGACTTATGCTACAGCTAATCACAGAAAAGTAAAGAATATATATAATAATTGATTTTACTAAAGACACAATTTATTTAAAATCCCATAATTAATCTTCTTTAATTAATGAACATATTTACAAAACTTCATTTTGACTCTGAAAGCGGTTTTCTTTTAATCTTGTATAAAAATAAATGCAAAGCCTAACTATAATTTACTTTTTTTTGCTTCCTATATGAAAGCTGGCGAGTTTTAGTAGGATGTAGAAAAATAAATGTGAATTAATGAACAATAAATTCTATCTACTAGCATATGTAAGTGTAAGCAGTTATAGATTACGCATCAGGCTCGGGGCTTTACCAAAAAACCGGCTCTAGTGCATACATTGTACACTATTTCTTATTTCAATAATCGAACTATTAAACTATTAAAATGTTTCGCCACAGTATAGCTTGATGTTATAACTGTGCTGTGCGCTGTACGCGATGTGCTTTTATAAGTGATCAATTTTCTCTGAATGTGTGTGGAATCAAGTTTTTTATGGTTTTGGGTTTTTTCTAGTCGTGATAAAAATTTCGAATTGTACGTAATATGAATTGTTTCAGATGCTATATGGTACGATGTGAATAATTGTCATTTGAACTCATCAAGCCTAAACATGTTCACGTTTTTTTTCTTTGAATTTATAATTTATTAACAGTAGCGTAATTCCCCGTGGATTTTCTTAGGTCATCTGTTTGGCACATTCGAAAAGAATAGAAATCAGGAAGGAGTGAGAAATGAAATGATTTTGTCTAGAATATAAAAGGCAACATTTTTCAAACGTAGATCAGTTGATCCTATATACAACGTTCCAGACGGTTTCAAATAACTTTAATTCCTAAGCAAATTAATTGTAAAAAAAAATACTCTTTTGTTAACAAAATGAAAGTCATTTTCGTAAGTAAAGTGAAATCAGCTCTCCTACATAGAAGCCAACAATGACTTTTTTTATACTTTCAGGCAATATTTGTTGTTTTTGCTTTAGTTATGTCCACTTTCGCTGTTCCAGCTCCAGGTAAATAAATCAACATTTTCCGCTTTAGTTACGTTACATAACATTATCAAGCATTTTCATTTCATACTTGAAAAATACAGTGAATCTCACTATTTTCATAATGCGGAAACTGTATAATATTGGAGTTTGAAAAAAAAGTATAATTCATATTGAATAAATAACATTTTTATGCTTAATTCCATTTTAGGGCACCATCATCCAAGTAAGTAATTGCATCCGACTGCGAAATTTGTTCAAAAAAACTATTGCATGTAATAGCATACAGCGAATAGTGTAATTGTTAAAAAGGAAAAAAGCATAACAATTTATAGTAATGATTGTTGTGATTGGTGTTGAATGTTGATATAAAAATTAAATTACTCGTAAAATTGGTTAATTTAACACAATTTTATAACTAGTAATATGGTTCACATTTAAAATGATAAGAATTCTCAGCCAATATTAATTCGGACCAAAAAATGTTTTTCGTATTCTCAGTCATTTGCGACAAAACAAGAGTTAATGTAGCATCTGGAATGATTTAAATCATGTTTTTTTAACTTTATCAATATTTTAAATTCAGGCTACAATCACGGAGGTGGACACAACTATGGTAGGTATTCAATAACCAAATTTGCAGTGATTTTCGACAAAATTTCAAATAAAAAATTATTCACACAGGTGGACATAATCATGGCTACCACGGCGGCTTCAATAACGGCCACAACAACCATGGATATCATGGTAAGAAACATAGCCACCATCATGGCTAGTCTGACCACTATTACTACATGAGATTCCTTGAATGTATTCGTCTTATGCAATTGTATTTATTCAACAAGAATTGACGAAAATAATTTCAAATGCATTTCTTTATGCTTACAATTGAATTTATTATTATTTAATGTTAATGAAAATGTAAAAAAGGGAAAAAAAATCAATTATTGATATTTCAACTTATTTTCTTTTTACAAAAAATATCAAACCGTTAGAATTTCAATAAAACAATAAAGATATTCTTCTACAGAAAATCAGTCTTTCAATTTAAAATAATAAATACCCTTCAATTCGATTGGAATCTGTCACTTACACTTCGTGTTAGCATATACATTTTGTGATCATCTTTCATTTATTTGTTTCATTTTGTGAATTCGCTGCTGCACAATGAAAAATAAAATTATCTCAATGGGAATGACAACTGCAATGTATCACAGTAGACAGAGCGAGAGTACCATTGATTTTTTTCTATCACTCTTATGCATTGGATTACAAGCATGAAATCGTTTCTGTAATTGTAAAAGAAACGAAAAATAGTGCAATCAACCTATTTGCATTCGAAACTTAAACTAACCGAGGGTAAAATAGAATAAATACGAGTTTTTTTTCGCAATCCAATTAGTTATCGAATCTTGAAGAATTCACCTGTCAAATAAAGCTGTTGGTTCGAATATTAATAAGAAGAACAATTGCAATGTATTACAATAGACAAAGCATATTATTGATTTTTTCTCATACATTCTATTTACAAGTGTTTGTTGTAGATTTCTATCAATAATATATATACAAAACAAATTTTCAATAAAAAATGCACTTTATTAACATCATTAATGTAGCCGATGGGTATCTATGACAGAAATTATTTTGCATTGATTATGAAGTGGACAATTTTTGACGTTCTATTCGATGATTTATTGCTGTGTTATGCTTAAATATTCGAATATACATTTAGTTTGTGCACAACTCGAGGATAAAATGGTCGAAATGTCTAGTCAACGGCTTTGAATGCACACGGTTGTGAGTTCAAAACCTAGTGAAGTAAGAACAATTTTGTATGTTAAGTTGTAAATAGCTCAAAAATCAGCTTCCCACGTTGATCTCACTAGGTTAGCTATTAATTATACTAACATGCTAACAGTACTCATTCGTTTGTGTTCAAGACCTGGTAGATCTTTAAAACCGACCCTTTCAACCTTTTTGCTTTTTTAAATTAGAATTCATTTTTTTTCCACGCATTCCATTCGAATTCAATCTATGAAGAAAAAAAAAACAGAAAAAATATATATAAGAAAAAACTTCAAAACAAATGAAATCAATTTGTTTACAAACAAAGTTTGTTTATATGTCTATTCAAATGTTTAAACGCATGCGTTAAATACACGACACATATGGTTCGCGTGATATGTGTTCCATAACATATGTGTATTTAAAGCTATACTTAAGGTGATCGCTAAATACTTTTGAATTGATCAACAACTTAAAATACATATGTGCGTCCTCAATACATATATACTTTCTTTGTTTAAATTCAATGAAATATGCATTAAAAATATACTCACATGTTGTTCGAATTGAATGGGTCGATGGAAAATTGATATCCCATCCATAGAATAAAAACTCTCTGCAAAAATGAAATAAAAAATCGTAATTTTACGTTTGAATTTATAAACAAAAAATGACTCTGGCTTTGACTCGGTATGAGTATTATTCCTATTTTATAGCAGCCATTTTTCATTTCGTATACTGAATATGCATATGAATTTGCATTTTGTGCATGTAAAAAGAGTCAAATGCAAATAAAAATAATTAACTTTTTTTCACACCGTTTGCATTTTCGTACATAAATCAATGAAAACACAGTCTCTACTTACATGAATTTACTAGAAAAATTAATGGTCCAGGAGTCACACTGGAATATGCGTCCGATGTTATTGACTGTTGGAATGTGACTGAAGTATTTTAGTAGGCGTAGATAGAAATCAACACATATACGCATGTGTATGTGTATATTATGTAAGTTATGTGATCATGAAAACGGAACTATTTTCATTTCCATGGTATACGTATTACGTAAAACGTACAAAGTATTACCACAGCTAAAATTATTTCATCTTTTTGTTGGCTGATGTGATATTAAAATACGTATTTTTCATTATTTAAATATTTAAAAAATATATGAATTGTGTTCATCATAAAAAATTCAGTACACCGCTTTAGAATATCAATCATAATGCATCGTGAAAATTTGCGCATCAAAAACAGTATGCTGATATAACTAGCCCAGTGGTTTAGGGCTCAGCTCAACAGTCTCGTGGTTTGTGGTTCAATTCCCAACGCATGATTTTTTTTTTACTTTTCAAGCATATATTTCTTTTTAATAAATTTTTGAGTAGTTTTGGCTGCGATTCACGATGAGTAATTAAAATAAATTTTAATCGAATTTTCTCACTAATGAGAGGATTAAGGCGCTATGACCACTTACCTTGTCATTCAATTCATTATATCCTTGTTTTTTCTGTTAAATTCCTCAAAAAAAATGCATGGCAATAAAAAAAACCAAATTTTAAGCTAAAAGCCATTGTTGAATATCTTCAGTAAATTTTAATCAATTATACTTAGTTAGTATAAGTTTCATCATATTTTCATATCAAAAGTAAAAATGTGAAATATTTTTGTTTGTTGTGCAGATCAATTGATCAATCTAGCGTATCCGCACTTAATGAGTGCTGTTGCCAAATCTTTGTGTTTGTTAAGAAGGTCCAGTTTGCAGTATTCCACTTCGGATGTTCCTTGTGCATCTGCATTTCGATCAGCTTCAATGACTGTCAAATCGCAATGTTTGTCGAGAACTAGCTGATTGCAGTAATCACGAACATGATCTGGCCACGTTGTGAGTTCAATATTGTGCAATTGGTATTGATGAGCCAATGACGGGATGTCTCCAAACATGGTTGGCTTTCTCAAATCGTCGAGTGAAAGTTGTTCGCAATTTCCGTAGTCAATAAATCGAACCTATTACAATAAAATGCATATAAAAACAATCAATAAATCTCTTAATACCGAAGCTGATAATATTGAAGCGATAAAAAATAAAAATTTATTTTTGAAATTGGCACTTACCACGCACAAATTTTTTCCAAAATTAACACGTCGAATGGTTGCACGATAGAATCTTTCACCATAACGTGCAAAGCATGCATCTTCCTTTTTCCATTCAATCGAAACTCTTCGCTCGAGTTGTCTACCACAATACTTTTGCATGAGCATCTTCTCGATACGATCGGCTGTTGTTTTGCGATTTGCTTCGAGCACAAAAATGTTGCATTTTTGACTGACATACATGGGGAATGCAACAAAATTCTTTTTGGGATACTTTTCCGATGGCAACCATGCTGTCACTTCGGTTCGTTTGTCGGTTACTTGCCACATTTCATCATTTCCTTGTAACATCGGTAGATTACCATTGATTTTGTCGAAATGCATGTCATCAATTCTGAATGCTTCACCAATGGTCTTCATTGTATCTTCTTCACTAGGATGCTCTTGCGCTGGATTTATTACAGACATGATACCATCAAATGATTTGGTCGTTGTTGCAACGCCACTTTCAACCAGCTCTTCATTGATGTTAACGTATTCAATTTTATCAGGTGACAATGCACTGCATGTCGTTTTTATGCCCCATAGAATGGCACCCTGATCATTTTCATTGAAGTCTTTAAGAGCCGAAAAGGCCAGCTCTTCAAACGAATCAATAATGTTGCGAAGCAATTGATTTGGATCAGAATTCGATGGTAAATCTTTGGCCAATTCAATCGATGCCAAACGAATCTTCCACGTGAAATCACGTGGCCTGTTCAGTTCTGAGTTGATTATCCGCAAATTGGCCAGTTTACATTCAATTGTTTTGCCAATGTCACGTAAGAAGACAAAGCCAGAATTAAATGAATTCATTGCAACGATTTTTCCGCGTAGCCAATCTCCTGACGTGTCATCCGGATCAATAGCTAAACAATATTCGCCAATCATCCAACCTGACTTATTTTTTTTCGGTTCACATTCCGTGGACATTTTTATTTTGAAACGTAATTGATTGTATGCGGCCGTATATTTTGTGAAACGTACGTAGATTTCATCAATTCCGACAACATATTTCACCAGCACACCCCATGGCTTTGTAATTTTGCACGAATCAATCAATTTGTCGGATGATTTTGGACTTTGTTCGATGGCCATTTTTGATGGTTCACCTGAGCGTTCGATTTGAATTGGTTGCACAACTTGGTCTGATGGTGTCGAAGACAAACTTTTCATTCGAATCGAATGTTGACCTTTATCCGATGGTGACGATAGCGATTGTTCCATTTGAATTGAATTTGGTTCTGATTTTGTACCCATTGAATTTGGTTCTGATACCGATGTTATTTCACTTGCTGAACTATTTTCGGACACCGACTCAATCGATGTAAACAACTTGTTGACACAAACGAACTGATTGTCCACTTTGTAATACAAAAAAATATCGGATGACATTGAATTCGATCGATTGACAAAAATGTAAAAATCGTGCTGCTGATTTTGCAATATATTCAGGAATTCTTGACGCTTTTGCAGTGAATAACGGTCAATGGGTTGAGTGGTTTTAACATTGGCAAGCGAACAACGCAAGGCAATCGGCTTGTGCATGACATATTTTTCATTGATCATACGCAAATCTGTCCAATTTACGCGTTCAATTATTCCAACGTCAAGCAACAACACATTGCATTGGTGGTTTTCATATAATTTCAGTATTTGACAACGTTGCCAGCTCATCGTTGTTGAAAATGCCATACAGATGTAACCAGATTTCAAACAATAGACCAAATCGTATTCATTTACAGTAGTGTACTCTTCTTTCAACACATTTTGGAACCGCTTGTGTTCTTCCGTGTCCATTTTCTGTAATGAAAAAATAAAAGTTTTTTTTTTCTCCGATTATCATCAAGTTTTGAATTATTCGAAACATAAAAAATGGATCTATCATTTATACGAAATACTTACTCGCATCAAATAAACCTCGTTCGGTGAATTTCCATTTAGAATCGTGACACTGACAAGTTCGCGTTCTTCTAGTGCCGACATTTTGCACAAGTCATGAAATCGTTTCTGTAATTGCAAATGGAACAAAAATTTATGCAATCAATCTATTTCTCTCTAAACTAAAACTGACCAAGGGTAAACAGAATAAAAACGATTTTTTTTTTTGAAATTCGAATAGTCGATCACTTAAAGAATATTTACCTGAATTTGTGTCAAGTTGTGTTCTTGTTCCGCATATATGAATGGCGTGACATTTTGATCCTTTAGAAATAATTGAATTGCCGCGTTAATTTTATTCAAACGGTTTTCATCTTTATCCAGCTTTTCTTGTTTTTTGCGTCGAAATTCTGAGAACCGTTGCTGTTTTGGCTTTGTATCCATTTTTGTTGTTGATTTAAAAAAAATTCCAATTTTTGAAATATTTATCTTTTGCACAGCATGCGATCTCGAGATTGAGTGGTGAACGGTTTAGCATGAAATGCGACACATATTAGGCGAAAAAATGACAGTTAGCATTAGAATGAGACGCACACACATACTATTTACAACAATACAGCCACAATGGTAGTAGTAGCAACAGACGAATCTGTGCAATGTGCTTGGTGTTTTTCGCATTTTGTGTCGACTGTGCGAATCGGCAATATACACAAATGTGTATAAGAAACTGTATCGATTGTATTGAAATGCAATATGAAACGGGACAAAAAAAAACAAACAAAAATAAATCGAGACAAGAAATGATTTCACCATTCCAACATTTGATTTTTTTCCGTTGAAAACGGAATTTGGTTTATTTTTTATTACAAAAAATGTGTTTTTTTTTTTAAACAACGGTTTTCGATTAACAATTAGATTTCTTTCTTCATTTTTCGAGTTAAAAATAACAATGGAAGTCGTTTTGGAATCACTTTGCGATCTATTAGACTTTGGCTAAAGCAACAGCAGTTCTCGATGGGATATAGATCTGAAATATGCAAAATAATAATAATTCAAATCAGAATTGAGGCGAGAAAATAAAACGAAATTCATTTGTTTGATACTTACTTGAACGAAATTTCTGCGTCCACAGTAGCCCAATGGATCGGTTATATGTTTGACATTTTTGTCGATGCGATTGAAGCCGCCAAATTCGGAATCGTCTGTGCTAAGAACAACTTGATAAGCACCTGCTTCCTCGATACCAACACGATAATCAGTGTAACTTTTCGTCGGATGGAAATTGAAGACAAACAAAACGCCAGCACGTTCGAATGCAATCACCTTATCACCTTCATGTTTCAAACTGACAAAGGCTGGATTTGAGCCAAGCCATTGGTATTTTTCATCCGTTAAATTCATGGCACGATCGAAATTATTGAGGAATTCATATTTTAATAGTTTATCATCGACCAAAGCCCATTGACGGCGTGCATAATGATATGATTCGTTATTACCAGTGCGTGGAAAATCTAACCATTCTGGATGGCCGAATTCATTGCCAATGAAATTCAAATAGGCTTCACCGCCCAATGAATGCGTTATGAAACGAATCATTTTATGCAATGCAATGCCACGATCGATAATCAACGATGGTTCCGACATTTTTGACATATGCGTATACATTTCCTTATCCATCAGCCAAAATGCAAGCGTCTTATCACCGACCAATGCTTGATCATGCGATTCAGCATAGGCAACGGTGCTCTCTTTCCATCGTCGATTTGTCAACGTGTGCACAATATTACCCATATCCCATGCATCGTCCGAATGTTCTTTCAACAATTGAATCCATTTATCGGGAATGGCCATGCCCAAACGATAATCAAAGCCAACACCACCTTCTGTAACTGGACGACATAGAGTTGGCATACCCGATACATCTTCGGCAATTGTTATGATTTGATTATCAATTTTATGCAATAAATAATTGGAAATTGCCATATAAATAACGGCATCCGTATCGACATTCAATCCAAAATATTCATTATAATCACCGCTAAAACCTTCACCAATACCACGCGAATGGTACAACATTGATGTAACACCATCGAAACGATAGCCTATTTTGAGAGAAAGAGACAACACAGTTACACGTTACTCGTTAAAGCACATCAAAATGAACGAAGCACAAAGACAACATCTCACCATCAAAATTATATTCATCGTGCCACCAGCGCAAGTTTGACAATAAGAAACGAAGCACTTCATATTCAGTATAGTTGAATAAACGGCTATCCCACAAGCTGTGTTCACCGCGTGGACCATCGTGGAAGAAACATGAATTCGTGCCATCGAATTGATTTAAACCGTCTTCGACATTTTTACTGGCATGCGAATGTACCACATCCAATAGAACGAACAGTCCCAAGCGATGAGCTTCATCAATCAGTTTTTTTAGTGCGTCTGGTGTTCCGAAACGACTAGATGCTGCATAAAAACTGGTCACTTGATATCCAAAACTGGCATAGTAAGCATGCTCCATTATAGCCATAATTTGAATTGCATTATATCCTTGGCCGACAATTCGGGGCAAAACATTCTCTCTGAAATTGTCATACGAACCGACTTCTAATCTATCGGTTGCAATACCAATATGACACTCGTAGATTTTCAGCGACTTCGGCTTGTTTGGCTTACGATTTTTGAAATGGAATCGCTAAAACGATAAATAATACAATTGCAATCAGGCAAGAAACAATAAAACAATAAACAAAAAATTAAAATAAAAAACAAAATCAGAGAGAAATTCTTACATCATGAGCCGGTGGATTCCATACGATTTGTTTGTAGTTTGTGCCTTGATTGGCCTCCTTTGGCGGTTGTACAACATACTTGGCCCATGGTGATAAACGGCTAACTAATTGACCAGACTGCGTTCGAATAATAATCTTGACCTCTGACAAATGTTGAATGGCACATGAACCGTCTGGACGCGCTGGAATATATATTTCCCATTTGCCAAAGTCCAATTTTTTAAATGGATTTGCTTCCCATTGCCAACCATCTAACGTGTAATAAATAAAACAATTGATGATTAGATTCAAAATAAGGAAGTGAAATTGCTATACAAAACGAAAAAAGTTGCACTGACGGAAAATAAAAGTTAACCCAAAGAAATAAATAAATAAACTTACTGAAATCTCCGGTGAGATAAACTTGTACGGCGCCTGGTGCCCATTCGCGTGCAATTACTGAATTATCTTGTTGAAAATGTAGTCCATAGTATTTGTAGGCTTGCGAAAAATCTTTAAGTCCGCCATCATGTTGTTCGATGCGTTCGATCCATTCACGTACGCAATGGTTTCTAATTGCAAAACCAAAAAACAAACAAGCCAATTAAAAAACCTATTTACGACACTTCATGGCCATTGTTTTTTCTTTGAATGCTATTTAGATTAGAAATTATTTTGGTAAAAATGAAACGACGACATCAAATGATGTATCATTTTGATATGACGACAGATAACGCACGTTCAAAGAAACAAATTAATAATAAGAAATTGCAATGGCAAAATCGGCTATAAAATGAGTTTACTGGTGATTACGTGCACTTTTTTGATTGATAATGTGTCGCGACAAATTCATGAACATCATCGATATAAGTGAATGTACAAATACAGCGCCGAGATGGAAGAAAAACAATCCTGTTGCTTTGAGATTAGCTCAAACTTTTGACTTCTAACAATCACCTTTATTCGCTGATTATAACTTTCGATTTTTCCTTTTTGATTTGTCATTTTCTCCTCCCCCTCTCTCTCTCTCACACCAAAGGTAAAGTGATCGGTAAAGTCAATATTTACTGTGCACCAATCACCACGAGAAATATCTAAAGCAAAAATGTTCCTACTTTGATAATTCTATATCAAAATACGCGCGCACAACAAAATACCGACACATACCAAAACATTCGCAGTACGCGGTTGTACATGCACGCAACGTTTCGGTGTATACACCGAACGCCATAGATTCATTTAACCTTTTATCGACATTGAAAACTAGCGGCGGTCGTTTGACAACTTCAATGCAGCTGACACTCAATTGTTTTGAAGATGATGCACACCAATATTCTTATTCGAATTTCACCCTTTTTGACACACATCAATTTCCAATTGGATCCATGAATAACTTATGCCTAGATATGATTCACATCGATTTCTTTTAATATTTTAAATAAACACTTACCTTCGACGAATTTCATGTTCAAATGGTTTTAAATATCCGTCTAGATTGAAGAGAGCATCAAAATTTGTTGGTTCCATTTTTGATGTTGTAAATAAAACTGAAAATTAAACAAAAAAAAAATATATCATGAACATGTATTTACAAACTTTTATAAATGAAAAGTTGAACAATTTTAACCGTTTAACTAAATTTCACTGAGACCATCATTGAAACAATAGCATAAAAAACAGCACTTACTTGATTACACGACGAAAATGAAATGGATTCAATTGAATTAAATTCAAACAATTCTTATTTTTATTGCGGAAAAATCGAGATTTGGCTTGAGATACGTTAACGTTAAATTGGCTCTGGCAAACTGATGAAAATGTTCAAAAGTGAAATATTAATTAAGGAAATTCGTAGTATTTGTATTGGGCGCCGCAACATGTGTACAACCGCATGCTTTAACACAAGCACCACAAATGATAAGCGTTCTTAATAATAATAATTTTTCAAACAAAAAATTATTAAGTATTTTTTATGCAATATGCGATGCCGCTTTGAATGCGTTGTTGTGTTGTTTGTTTAAGTTGAATCATTCTATATTTTATTTATTTTTTTTTATTCTATCTCTTTCTCTTCCTTACTATTCCCTGTTATTGTATATTCATTTCTTATTGTTGTGCGCGTTTACCGCATACACAAACATTGTTGCGTTGCCGTGTGACGTACAATATGCATGTGTGAGTAGAATACACACCGAGACAAACAAATCTCTTGCTATCATCTGATCCAATGTTATATATATACTATAGCTCATCTTGGATGTTGAGTGTGACTATCGTGCACATAGTATACCGTAAATCGGTTCTCATAGAACGTGCGTTTCGATACATTGTGGCATCTGTATTATGATCCTCAAATAATAAAAATAGTAAAAAAAATAATTTATATACTATGCACGCTGTTATCGTGTGATATCGAACATTCTGACAGGTCATGTAAACGTGCATTCGATCTAAATTTGAATTATCGCATGAAGTAAAAATCTATGTAATTTTTTCACAATTCGCAATGAACAACAATTGTGGAGTTTTCCGTCGGAGTCAATAAAACACTATAAAAACATTATGATTTGATGTTTTCTGCCCAATCTTTTCGTAAGTTCACACGATAGACTTTTATTATTAGCCCAGAACATATGGCACAATATGAAGGACATCGCTGTAAAAAAAAAGAGTTCTTACATTGTCGTTTTTCACCAATCAAACTATGGCACGGATTAGAAAATATGGGCTATAATTAGGCTGCTTTACATGAAAAATGCTGAAAAGAGATTAAAAGATTCAAATAAACACTTCCACTTTTTTGTTCACTTTTTTTAATTATATATATTTTCTTTTTAATTTGTGATTCAGCAGCATAATCCTTCAATTTTATTAAATCTCCTTTATAAAAACCATCTTCACAAAAAACATTCTTTTCTTGCATATTAAGCTAATTTATAAATTGTTTACTTCCTTTTTATTAATTTTTTTAAAAAATGTTTTCTTGCCAATCTTTTGATATTAGAACATGCAATCAAAAACTACCAAAAAAACTAAAAAAAAAATTAAAATTCCAACTCATAAAAATAGAATAATCATAAAGTTTCGTTTTTTGCGCTGGTGTTATATAATATTCTGTTGTTGGTTAAATAAGAATTGAAATAGAATATCAAGTGTTATATATTTTTAGCTGAAGGGCCGATTCATTTACAATTTCTTTTGTATATATAATATTTATATGTATGTGTATTTTTCTTTTTTTGAAATTCATTCCCAAAATTGCCGGCATAAAAATAAAAGCATACATTGTTCATTTCATATGGGATTGATTTCTTTATCTCTGCCTTGTCATCTAGTAAATAATCACCAAAAGCTAAGTATTATTTGTAAATATAAATATTTATAATATAACTTATGTAAGCATTGTTTTTCTTTCATTTTTTTCAACGTTTTTTTTTTCTCTATATATGCTTATGTGCTATGAGTTTACAACCGAATTGTGAAAGCACCAAAATTATGGACAAGTTTCGCGTACGCATAGATGAAAATGCGATAGTACATTTACTCTAATTAATAATGAGCCTTTTCGTTCCATCGGCGATTCGGGTCCATCGATTTCACATTGATAAAATAACATGAATATATAGTTGTTGTTTTTTTTAGTTTCAAAAGATTAAAATAAAAATTAAATAAAAATAAATTAGAAATTATTTGCGTGGAAAAAACAAATTAACCTAAATATTCCATTCAAAAGTATTCTTTAAATATTCGGTTTCAATGCATTTTCTGTGACTTTTTTTTTATAACTCTTCTTGTGATTTTTTGTTTATTTTTTTTTGTTGTTGTTTTAGTTGAAATGAAGAATTTCGCTGTCTTTCTATCGTTTTAGTTGTATCTTTTCGCTTCCAGAGCACTTCAACGATTCTTTCGAAATCAATCAATCAGATGACATACGATAAGACTAGCTCTCTTACACATACACACATTCCACATGACTCCACATGATGGATTCCGTGGATCGTGAGGAGAATTTAAATTTTCGTCACTTTGCTCGCAACAACGAGTGGATTTTCTTTGGCTATGGATTTTTGTCCTTCTTTTTTGAAATCATACGAACAACTGTGAGCTTCAGCATATCGATGTTTGGCGCAAAAAATTCTCTCACAATGACATTTCATTACCATAATAATGCCTAATTTTTTGTTGCACTGGGCACAACGTGGATTTCCTGTGGCACTTGATGACGGTAATGATGATGCTGTTGATAATAATGACGGTTTAATGTCAACCACTGTTGTTGTTTTATTGTTTGGTAATAATGACTTTGTATTATTTATTGGTGGTTTACCATCCACCTGATTTAGATCACATGCTGAATGTATATCGAGTCTATTTTTACGCGGTTGTACTTTAATTGTGTCCGTATTGCATTGGTTACGTTCAATTTTTAATAGATTACCATCGCTTAAACTCATTAAATTTGGAATTTCCGGCACAAGCAGTCCTTGTTCTACCTGATTTTCATTCTTTTCGATTGGTTTACTTTTCGTTCGGCCAGTCAGACAATCATTCGTTGCGGTTGCGACAATTGCATCTTCATCACCAAAGAAACTTTGTTCCGACTGTGGTGAATCGGTTACACCCAACAAATTCAACGAATCAATTTGAAAGACTTCATCGTCAGTGGCATCAAAATTTATATTAAATAAACTATCATCGGATTGATATTTTTGTTCTTGGCTTGTGTTCCAAAATGTTGGCGGACCGCTCATATCAGCATTATCATATGCTAAATTTGAATAACTATAATCGGTTGAATCGTCTTCCTCTTTCATTTCATCATCGAATGATTTACCATAGCGCCAATCTTGTGAATTATTGCTACAACTGCTGCTACTAATTTGGCTACGATTCGAATAGCTTGGCACCGTATCACCTTCGGCATAACCGTAATTTGTATTTCCCATTATTCGTTTGCCATCATTTTTCATGCGAATTATTTTCGTGCGATCTAAATTTTCGTAGCTGCGTACATAGTCGGCCGGTGCATTATTTTGATTTTGTAAAAATGAAAAAATCTCCTGACTTATGCTATTGCCACTTGATGTGCCAATATTATTCGTGCTTGTTGTTGATTTAGCTACCGTACGCAATGTTTCTTTGGCGCATCGATTCGAACGTAAAATATCTTTGATATTTGATGTGCTACTCGATAAACATGCATCATTTAAATTACTATAGCCACGACGATATTTCAACGGTATATTATTGAGACAACGTGAATTATTTGTGACTGGATTATAATTTAACAACGGGCTACTACCGAACATTGTACGAAATTCATTTGTTTGACTAATTGATGGCTTTGAATTATGCAATAATTCATAGCTACCATTATTGCTGCTACTGTTGCTAACTAATGATGCACCATCCACCGGATCGGTGGCTGCATCATGAAAACTCATCTCAAGACTATTTCCATGATCGTATAATAGTGTATCTAATTCAGTTGATTCATTCAATGTGCTCGGTTCCATCATATCGGTGGTTGCCGTTAAAACGGTATTCAATTGAACCGGAACGGATTTGGTCGGGGCCGCACTTGATGATATGTCTATTGCACTGTCCGGTGTTGTTGCAATCATACTTTTCGGTGAATCACATCGAAGTGCCATCGTTTCTAATTGAGTATCGGATGAATGGAATGATTCGATCGGTGATCCTTCTCGAATTAATAACTTTGGAAGCTCGTAATTTTTGGCTAAAAAAACACACACACAAACGCATCCAGATTAGTTTAAATATGCAAAGGACAAAAAATAAGAATCAAATGTGCTCAAATTTACCATCAGCTGCCATTTTATAAACACGGAATGAGCTGCTGTCAGCAATTGCTTTGGCCGTTGTTGGACCGAATGTGGTTGCATTTGGATTTGATTTAAATTTTTGGAATTCATTTGTAAATGATTTTCGTTCATCGCATCGATTCAGTCCGTTTGAATGATGACCGCTTTGCTTTTCAAAGTATAATTTATTTTCGAAACCATTACTTGTGAATTTTGGTGCAGTCAATCGTCTTGAATACAGTCTATGAGTACTATCCGATTCAACGGGATATTTTAAATCTATTAATTGTGATACCGAGGCGGCGCTATTACTACTGAACGAACGAAGTGATGATAATGAACCGGAGCGATTTGATACCGATGACTCCGGTAAATCATCCATTGATCGATTCGATATAAAATGATGACCACTTTTTGATTTGCTCACCGGATTCACTGAATACTTCGATCGCTGTGAATATAAAAGAAAGAAAATTACAAATAAGTTGTTTATTTTTCGATCGAAACGTCAAAGGATGCGACAAATAGTTAACTTACCCGATTTTCTTCAATAATCAAATCATTGCTACTACCAACAGCCTTGAATGATCGATTTCGTCGAATGTTGTCACGAATTTTTGATCGATACGATTCCGAAGTAATGGTAGTTGCTTTGTTAAAGTTCGATAACATTGCCTCAAACGGTGATTGTTTGTAGGCTGCAGCAGATGTGGTGGTGGTGGTTGTGGTATTTTTATCGGTTGCTGGTGAATTTGGTCTGTCTCTGCCCATCGATTCTCTGATACTTTCAAATGATTCTTTGATTTCGATGAGTTCACCGGGCGACAGTGGCACTTTGGACGTTTTCATGATTTCAATTAGATTTTGAATCCAATTTGATTTTGTGAGCTTTCGTTTGGATTTCGGCGTTTCATTTATCACTTTTGCCGGCCAAATTGCATCATCTTGACGCATCAAAGACGATGCCGCCGATGATGGTGGTGATGATATTGGGCTCACTTCATTTGGCATTTGATGCTTACTACCTATTACATTGCTATCAGTCAGTACAAGGCTTTCGGTGTCGCTTCGATTCGTTTTCTTTAAAGTCGTTGCATTTTCGATGAACCCTTTTAATGGCGGTAAATAAATTCGTCGACTATATTTTCTAGGCGTTTTCGATGTACTTGCTTCCAATTTACATACAGCTGTTCCTGCTGTACTAGTATCACCACCAATACTTCTACCACCAATCGCTCCAATGTCATCGTTACCATTTGACAATTCATCTTTGAATTTAAAATGGATTGGATTTGCGCTAAACAGATTTTTGCTGAAATTATTGATATTTCTAGTAGTGGCGATTCCAGCGGTGGTGTTGTTGCTGCTACCACCATTGTTGCTACCGCATTCATTATCACCATTTATCGATTTTACTGTGCTGGATTTATTAAAAAGCTTTGTCCCTTTATCACGTTTTTTCAATTCCAATTGCGTACGCAATTGATGCATTTTCTCCATTGTATTGAGATTATCCTTGAGAAATTGATCGTCCACATCAACCGATAAATCAAGGGCATTCTCTGTATTTGGATTGTTTAAATTTTTACGATCGGTTCGCAATTTCACACGATGCACATTCTTTTTGCAGTCTTTGTAAACGAGTAATTTCACACCCGGTGACGATATCGTGAATTGATCTTGTCTGTAATGATAAATGAATGTATTAGTGTGACATAAATATGAAAAAAATAGAATAGTCGCAATGAACGAATTACGACGAAATATTAATTTGAATAAAAAAGTAGGGCATAATCGAAATATGAAGAAATTAAAAAAAAAATGTAAATTTAATGGATGTGCTTACCTAGCAGAATTTAAATCGAACCATGTGTCAAGATCAGGCATTTTAACGAGACGCCGTTGTGCCGAAACGGGACCACCCTTTAGACCGAGCACCAATTTTAAACGTGATCCATGACTCAGTCCATTTGGTGGCACATCTTTTACCTCGGTCGCATCGCTCAATTCATGTTGATTATAGATTAAATGCTGCTGTCGAATCGGAATGCCTATAAATATTGATTAATAAAATGGCATCATCTTATTTTCGCTTAGATCAAAAATGGGGTGCATAAATTAGTTTGATTCTCTCCGAATTAAAATATTTCTATAAAAACACACACGCTATATTCTGACAGTTCAAAAGTGTCTTTCTCGCCTCAGAATATATGCATATGGTAATCATATTTATAAATTGAAAGGAGATACAAAGTTGTCAGTTTGTACCGAACGCATTCAATAATATAATCGAACACGTATGGTTAAAAAGTGTGGAATGTCGTCCATGACGTCTTATTTCATTGATTTATTTTTTAAAAGTGTCTCTCTCTTTTTCTTCTACTCTATTTGTGTCACTTGCTCATATCTCTCTCTCTCTATATATATATATCGTTTTAACTTCTCTGTATCAATTTGAAACATGCGGCATTGCGCATTAAACTTTGTGCACACTTTTCCGACAGTTGGTGTCGTTAAATTGTTGTTGCACTTGTTCAATGTATTTTTTTTTTTTTCTGAAATTTTATTGCACTATGTCATTTATTTGCGATCATTATCGTTGTGCGCCGTTTTTACGTCGTTCTTTTTTTTCACATTTTCACTTTGACATTGATTGTTTACTTCTTATTTTGGGTAGTGCATTTGCGACTGTATGTTTTTTTGCTTTCGGAAAGTTTGTAAATAATTTTCACACAGCCCATTTAGCAAATATATGTATATATCAATTTGACCTATAAATATAATTCATTTTTGTCTATAGACTACTCTATTTTTATATTTTTTCCCCGTTTGGCAATATGTGTTCATCAGGAAGCGAGATAGAGAGATAAAAAAGAAACGATAAAAACTACAACTGAACCAATCGACCAAAAGTCGAGAAATTATGTCAATGGGAAGTATATTTAAATTCGATATTTACCTTCGTATTTTTGTATGTGAGTTTTGATGTATCCAATGGTATCATCATCGGTGACGGTGACTTCAATTTCGGCGCCAGTTAACGTCTCAACGATTATATCGTATTCAATCACACTGTCGATCCACATCTGTAACACAATTTTAAAAACATACAATTTATTAAGAAAGAAAGTATACTATGGTAATTTAATGTGAAACAAATCGATTAATACTCGCGACGTTATTCAAATGTACGCCGCCTTTTTGTTATCAAAATTACATCGAAATGTTGCCTTGAAAGCACGACATAAGGATAGAGAAAAAAGAGTTTCGTTGAATCGACGATAGACGATAGAAAATTTCTAGCCTGCTCACACTCTCAACCGCATCCCGAAAATGGAATACATGAATTAAATCACACGAAATTAAATAGAGAAAACTGAATCATCTGTTGCTTGAGGAATGCTCATCATTGAGAACAAAAAGCAATAGCAGTAACAACAACAATGTGGGGAAAGACCGTATGTTTGTTTTTCAGTCGGCGATGGTACCAAACTGGTAAGATATGACTAAGAAAATATTCAATATCTACAAATTTGCTGAAGACAGCTGCTGTTTAACCTTCAATCGGATCGAAAAAATAGTGTGAAAAACATACGGTCTTTTTGATCTCATCAATATAGACGTATACATCTTGTCACATACATGTGCAATTGCGCAAGGGAGAGCCAAAGGCACATTGTATGCACGAATTTGACACACGGTCGAATGTTGTGTTTAACGTGGAAACAACAGCAGTAGCAGCAATAGTCATTCGGTTAAAACGTGTATTGCAATTGTATTGGTTTCAATTGTATAAAGCGAAAAATGAAGAGAAAGAAAAACTGATTCGAAATATATATAGAGAGAGAGTACAATGAATTGAATCTATTGATAGTGTTTTGTGCAATCTGAGTCATGCACATTGCTGCATACAGGGTGTTCAGAGGCGAATGACAACATTTCCAGCCATTTTTTGTGGTGACTTACGCATGCAGATGAAAAATAGACAATTTTTCAGGAAATCGGTATCGAACGAAAAAATAATTAACTACTTTTGTTGGTGAAACAATGCTTACCGACTGGCACATGCAATTTAAACACAACTGAAGTTTGTTAAATCAAGTTTTTTTTTATAGGAATTCAAATGGATTCAATATCAGTATTGTTTTGGGGCGATGGTTGAATTTCTATGGAAAAAATCTATTGCTTTTTATATTGTTTTGTTTGTTTCGCTCGAGATAAAAATAAACATTTGACAGTGACTGAATCAAGGCCTGCCAATTTGTGAGTGTAAGCATGTGTGCAAGAGAAATAGAGTGAAAGATCAGAGAGGAAAATAAAGAATGATCATAAGCCGTTGTCGAGACGTGTAATACATATATGCGGAAAAATTTGACGTCTAAATTAAGCAAATGCAAATAGGCATACAACTTTAATTAGTCTGGTCAGGGCAAAATCCAGTCAACTAACAATGCATGTTTTCCTTTCCATTCTCTCTCTCTCTCCCTCTTGCTTATTCTTCTTAAATATATCAAAAATCAGATCAAAGTACAAACATACCTTTTTCAGTATTTTATATATGTGTGTGAGTGTTTTGTGCGTGCGTTAATTTTTTCTTTCTCGATTTGTTGACTCCCTCTCCCACTTAATCTTTGTGCTTTGGAAGAGAGTTGAAATCAATCGTGTATGATTTTTGCAAATGCACCCAATTAGTATGTCGGTGAATATGTAATAATGTTGCACATATCGTTTTCAAACATGCACGGAGAATCGCGCTAACACACACGACGATGAACGCAAAATAGAGAAGACAAGATGCGTTTTTTTTATTTTGTTCGAATATAATGTACTTTCGATCGTAATTTATATGGTCGCCGTTTATTCTCTTTTACGCACAACGTACGAACAATTGATTGATTTGATATTCGCATTTATTGTGTGTGTGTGTGTATGTCCGTCCGTTGTTGTTGTTTTTTCTCAGTTTCTTGAAATAGCACTATTTTTATCATTGAGCAACATTCCGTTTCGGTAGGCCGTGAATGGGAACAATTTAAATGGAAATTTGCTCAATAAAAAAAGCACACAAACTCAATAATTTTTCTCGTTTGATATTTTCCACATTGAATTTTGAGTATAAAGTTTTTTTTTGTTTGCAACTATTTTTTTTCTCTCGATTGCTTTTAATCACACGCGCACATCATATGGCAATGAAGAAAGAGACAGCCTTTGACGACCGCAAAAAAATTCTCTCCATGTGTGATTTTCCACTAAATTTGTCGCTGTTCTCTTTTCGAAACAAAAACAAAAAAAACCGATTTTATATTCGTATGTGTTTTTTTCTGTTGGTTTATTATCTTCGGTCGTGCGATTCTCTGTTGAAATTACGCAAGAATATTCGTTGGTGCTTTTTGGTGAAATCTCGTTCAATTGGTTTTATATTGTTGAATTATGGTCTGTAACATCCAAATCATTTTTATTCGGACCGACACGTAATTGACACAGTATATGCGACACTGTAATAAAAAATAAAAGTGTGAGTCGAGCGCAACAGAGAGAAATGATATAAAATAAACAGCACACACAATCTCTGTTGTCTATTGAATTTATTATTGTCTTCCGTTGATATTATTCCACTGGCAAAAACGCCTTGAGAAAAGATACAGAGACTTCTCCGTTTGTTGCTTCTGCTGTTGTTGTTACTTTTTTTTTGTCACTGTTCAATTCGTTTGTTCTATAATGAAATTGTCAACGATAACAACTTGGTAGATTTTATTTGAATTTGTGTTTTTTTTTTCTTCTTTTATTTACACATACGTGCGTATTGAATATATGCGTGTGTCTCGCACGATATACAATCACCGAAGAGAGAGAAAAAATAAAACAATCTCGTCCCTAATGTTTTATTATCCGATGTTTTTGTGTTTCACTACTGTTCGCTACAAGAAATAAAATTAGAACGCGTTGCGCTTATTCAACTAGAGAATTTCAATGGTCTTGTTTTATTTGAATTCTCATTCATTCAGTCAATGTTTTTTTTCTTCTCTTTTTCGCGTGCGTGCTGTCTTGTTCTATTGTGCTCCTTCAGCAATCGATGGGATTTTAATATCGCTTGGAAGTGCACACCAATCACTTTTCTATGATGAACAATAAACAAACTTTTGTTCTATTTTTATACACATACTATGTGTTTTTTGAGTGTCCAGCAACAACAGTTTTGATTTCATAAAGTCCAACAGGTTTTTGAATGGTTAAAAAAAAATTAATCGTAGATTTATGAAAACACACACTTCTTCTTCTTCTCTCTCTCTCTCTCTCTCTCTCCGTGTCTCCACGCTCTTTCTTCAATTCAAACAATATTGATATATCCAAATGCAATTGTGCTGGCCACTAAATTGACACATGAATCATATTAGATGTGCCAACCCACATATTGTATACAAATATACACTGAGATCACTTTTATGAATATCGCATACGGTCTCCGCGCTCGCGACGACACATGCATACACGGTCAAACAAATACCATCGAATCAGCACTGACTGAACGTGTACACCGTATATATTTATGTGTGCGTTTGAAGAGAATGAATCGCGAGAGTGGAAGAGAAATAAAAAAAACACACGAAGACTGCGACAGGCATGCACATGCACAAGGTCTGAACTGTATCTGTTTTCTCATATGAAAATGCCCCGTCGTCTATTTTCGTTCCAGCTCTTGGGATTTCAACTTTTTTTTTCTTTTTTTCTTTCTCACTCTTTCTTTCTCTCTCTCTCTCGTTATTTTGCTTGAGGTTCAAAGATTTGTATTTTTTATTTTATTTATTTTAAATCTGTCTTTTGCGATGCACAATTTCACAATCAATCGTCGATACGCATCAATGTGCTACTTCATCGAAATGGGGAAAAAACGTTTTGATCGTTGACCATACGAACAATCTGTTTTATTATTGTTTTGACGATGTTTTAGCAAAATTTTGTCGCAAAATCAAATGATGAGTCACACATATTCAATATGCAATCAAAATATTGTATGTTGTTTTGATTTGTTCGTAACACTCTATTCACGAATTAAAGAATTCGATATCGTTGCAGTATGTCTGTCCAAACTCAACTGCACCTTTTTTTTAAATGCACATACTTTTCTTGAGTATTAATGGTTTGTTCCGAGGACGATTTGTGAATTTTCCGTTTTTTTTCTTTTTTAATCTGTCTATTTTGACTGAACTGTCTTCTAGTTTCCGTGCGGATTGAAATCTGTTCCAACACTTTTGTTATTCATCAACACTCTTTTTTGTCACTGTAATTGAGTATATACGTATACACACACTCAACAGTGGTCAAACACTCACTATCTCTCCGTTTCGTGTGCATGCAACAAACAAGGCGTTGGATCTAGAATATACTTATGACGCGTCATTGTGTCTGATAGATATAGATGTATGTGTGTAGCATACATATGAGTGTGTCAGTGTATGAACGAGCAAATGTCTATATGTAATACAACAGGCCCTCTGCACGAACAGTATATGTCTAATGTCTTCTGAATATCTTAAACCTCAATCAAGTCATAATTGTTGTCTTGTTTTCTAATGAAATTTCTATCGAAAAGAATTTTATCAATCGAACCAAAGGCCTTTAATGAATTTATTGAGAATATTTAGTTTCAATGGAAATAAATGATGTCACCATTAAACGCATTTAGTTTGACGCGTCAAACTTTTCCGTCGACTGTGATACATACACACGCAAACGTCATGTCAAACCAACCTCACATCGATATCGATGTGTTATCAAATCGCTCATGCACACACACATATCGTTTGATTTAACATAAAATAAGCGAAACGTCAAAATCGAATGTACCTATGAATGAGTGTATACAAGATTGAAATTATTTAATTGTGCACATATTTACCATCACAAATCCAATTAAAATGACATCGATGCTTTAGGCAAATCAATTCAAATTTTTATTTATTTTGTGTCAATAATTGAAGAAAGTTGGGATAAAACGAGTAATCGATTGTTTACAATTTGGAAATTGTCGAAAATTGTTGATCATTGAATTCGGTGTATCAATCCATAGTCATCGTTTCGCAACAAAAAGAATCAATCTTTGGTGTCGGTTCATTGTTTAAGATATCGAAGTGTACGTAGGATATGCTTTTGAATCGATTTTCAACGCCAAATTATATACAAACACACCCATTTACATCGACAAAAATTATCGTCGCTTCGTTTGTCGAATTTGAACGCCGACCGATAGTGATATCGCTACACAATGGCCATTTTTGAAGTAAGTTTTGTTGATTTGTGCATTTCAGTCAGAACGATTCACAGTCTGAAGCATACGACTACCAATTTATTTCTCTTTCTCTCTCTCTCTCTTCCCATCATTCTCTGTCGCCTTTTCGTTCATCATGTTACAGTGGAGAAAGTTCAATTTCTTTGATTTAAAAAACAATGCCGACCATGGCAAACTGGCCGAAGTGCTAAAGGTAAATGTGATAACAGTCAAATAGAATTGACGAAGTTCAAAGTTGTTATTACTTTGCATTTTTCAACTGAGTGTGTGTTTGTGTTTTTTTTCTTCATATTTAAATAGGAGGCAACCATAAAATGTACAACAAATGGAAATAACCAAATTATTATTTGTGATTCGTATGGTTGTATTCACATATTTGATCGAAATTGGGAGGCGTCAACATTCAAAGGTCATGTCGGACCCATTGAGTTATGTGAACTATCGCGTCAACACAATCTTTTAATTACAGTCGGAGTATGTTCCACGTTTTATTTTTTTGATATTATGACATTTTCATTGATTGATACAAGCAAAGAAAACCGGTGCAAATTATGCAAATCTCAATCAATTTGTTTGTTTATTTTTATAATTACAGAAAGATGACAATGGAACATTGCCCGTTTTTAAAATATGGAATTTATCAAAGGCATCGAATGTAAATGGTGGCATTTCAATGCCATGCGTTCGCACCGAAAAAATTATACTACAAAAACCGACCGCAATTGCTGTATCCGAAAATGGTCATTACTTTGCAATTGGTTTTGATCGTGGCACAATTGCATTATATCGCGGTGACATTAGTCGAGATCGTTCGAAAAATCTAAAATCCATTTCAGCCGGTTCAACACCAATTACTGGCATTGCATTTAAACAGCATACAAAAACGGTACAAATGTTTGTGTGCTCGGAATCGGGCGTTTTGGTTTATAATTTACAACATAAGGATCGTGAAGTGAAAACGGTGCTTGATAAAAATATTGCGCCAACACGATGCTGTGCCTTACAAACAGCCCATGGAACGAACGAAAGTCATTTTATGGTGGGAAAAGATGATGTAAGTTATGAATTAAAAACAGTGACGCATTCAATATGAGAATCACATTTTTTTATGATGACGAACATATTCCATATCCGATGACACAATGTTTTATACCATTTTCAGGCAGTTTATTGCTATACAATCGATGGTCGAGGTCCATGTTATGCACTCGAAGGTGAAAAGTCCATTATACAATGGTTCCGATCACATCTGTTAACCATTTCAAAACCCACCAAAAATACCATGTCGTTACAAAAGTAAGTGTTTATGACGTAAAACATCGGTACATTGAAACATTTTTGAAATATGACGTTTTTGGAATTTGCGTTTTAAAATCGTTCACCTTTTTCCTTGTTGAATGGATCTTTTGAGAAATATAAAAGCTTTCCAATTAATTATTTATTTTTCATTCAAATAGAGAATCGGTGTTGACGGTCATTGATATTCTAAATAAATTTATCGTCTTTTCGACACCGATCGAATCAACGGTTGCCATACTCATTGAATTCGGTACATGTTTCATAATAACGGGCAATAAAATGGTTTATCATCTCGACGAAAAAGATTTACAAAGTAAATTAAGCTTATTATTCAAAAAGAATTTATACGATATTGCCGTTCGCATAGCGAAAAGTAATCAACATGATCCAGAAGGATTGGCTGATATTTTCAAACAATATGGTGATCATTTGTATGGCAAAGGTGATTTTTCTGGCGCTGTTGAACAATACATTAAAACAATTGGTTATTTGGAGCCATCGTATATCATTAGACGATTTTTAGATTCGAGACACATCAATTATTTGACCGATTATTTGCAAGTGAGTTCAATTTTGGAAGTAAAACTTTTCATTTTATCTCACGTCATAACGATATATGTTTCAGGCATTACACAAACAGGGAAAAGCAACAGCTGATCATACGACTCTGCTATTGAATTGCTTTACGCGTTTGGATAAAACGGATCAAGTAAGATGTGCACCGTTTTCGAAATTCAACAGAAAACTCATCTAAAAAAAATTCGTTTATTTCCAGCTCAAAGAGTTCCTGAGCAATGATCAAAATCCGGATTTAATCTTTGATTTAGATGTAGCTATTAAAGTGTGTCGAAATGCATCCGTTGAACATGCTTTGGTTTTGGCCAAACGAAATCTAAAATACGATTCATGTATTAGTATCCTAACGGAAGATATGTGCGCGTATGGTGATGCACTCGATTATATTGCCGAACTGCCATTTGAACATGCTCAGAAAAATTTGAAAAAATACGGTAACATTTTGATGAAAAACTGTCCTCAACGAACAACGGAATTGCTGAAAAAACTCTGCACCGATTACTATCAATCGCAAAACAATGATAATGGCGATGTTCGTGATTCGGGCCCAAATGACATCGGTAGCAATAATTTAATGACCAATTCTACGTTATTTTTCGACACATCACCCCACATTGATCGTGCGAATCCAGAGGATTTTATTCATCTTTTTACAAAGGCTGAACCAGAGTTACTGATCGATTTTCTTGAACATTTACTTACCAACATGAGCAATTGTTCACAATTAGTGTACAATACATTGATTGAACATTATCTACGATGCTGGAAAATCGATTCAAGAGCCGAAAAACGGTTGTTGGAAATTCTGCGACGAACATCGTCCAACGATGAACCAAGTCTGCCATACGATCGAAATCATGTGCTCATCTTATGTAGTACGTACGAATTTTGGCCAGGAATTATGTACATTTATGAAGAGCAAGAATTGTAAGCACTTTTTTTATAACAACGACGATCGGAATTCATTTAATCACTTTTTTACATCATTTTTTTCTAGATACCATTTGATTGTACGATATTATTTGAAAATTGGCGATTACAATAGTTTGATCAACACTTGCAAACGATTAGGTAAAATGCAGCCATCGTTGTGGTTACAGGCATTGACCGGTCTACGTGATAATAAAAATGCGCCAACCAATTTGCTTTCGCAAGTATTACAAGTGATCGGTGAGTTTCTTCTTTTTCTGCCCAATGAAATGATACTTTTGATCGATATAAATGGCATAATTTGTTTTGTTGTTGTTTTTCCATAGCTCAAGAAAAGCTGCAGTCACCGTTACAAGTGTTAATGTGTTTGGCCGTTGAAAACGGGCCAAATCTATCAGCCGTTCGTGATTATTTTCTACAAGTATTCCAAAAGGATAACGAGTCTGCTAGAAATGTATGCCCTTCCTAAACCTATTTTTAAATTGTCAATTTAAACGATTATTTTTTGTGCGATTGACATCAAAATCCAATTTCTCTCGAACTTGCATTCCAGGAAGAAGAATTAGTTGAGAAATATCGCAAAGATTCGGTGAAATTGAGAGAGCACATACAACAATTGAATGAACGTCCAATCGAATTTCGTGGCACTCTCTGCGACACATGTAATCAACCACTGACAATGCCTTCACGTTATTTCCTCTGCCAACATGCCTACCACCAAGAGTAAGTTGCTTAGCCGAAAAATGAATGTGTAACTAATTTGAATGTCTTATAATTGATTTCAGTTGCCTTCGGGGCTATTCAGAGAATGATAAAGATTGTCCGGTGTGCCGTGCAAAGAATTTGCAGTTGATCGACGCATTACAAGCTCAAAGCGAGTCACGTGCACAGCATGAAACCTTCCACAATCTCTTGAATCGATCTACCGAACCATTTTCGGTGGTTGCTGAGTACTTCGGTCACGGAATGTTTAACAAAATTTTGATTGTCGAAGAGCCGGATGAAGTTAGTCAAGATGTATGTCATTTTATTAAAATTAATTCGATTATTCAGTTTGATTTTTACTTAAAATCATATTATTCTCTGCGAACCAGGTAATCAAGGCAGCTCAGAAGCAACACACTCAGCATACCGAAGCAAATCCATACGATAAATATGGTTCGGGTGCTGAATCAAAACTTCGTCTAGAAGAGACCAACACAATGAGTAATAAAATGTCAAATACGGCTTATTATGCGGCACCGGTGCCAGAGGGACGTATGAGAGCACAGGAACAATCTAGATTTGTCTCGCACGATATAAAGTCACAAGATCTAGAACGACGTCCTATAAAACCAGTTCAAGAATATAGAAGACCAGTGCCAAATGCAACGATTGCCGTTCCGAAAAATTCCAACACGCCGAAGAATCCATTCGACGAAGATGACGATAACAATGATAAATATGATGAATCAAAGAATCCATTCGCCGATGATGAAGATGACTCACCGAAAACAGAGGTTGCCAAAGATGTAAGCAGTAGTGTTCAAAGTAATCCGTTCGGCGATTATGATGATAATTTGAATCCATTTGAATAGAAAATGAATGAAATATTTTGATTTTGATGCGATTACAAACACACCAAATTGGAGCAAGATGCACAATATTCTGTGATAAATAAATAAACAAACAAAACACAATCACATTTGGATTGTCATCTGAAACTTTTATTCAAACATTCCAACGATAAGAAATGAGTGAATGCATATATGCCTCCAAAGAACACTCGAAATTCAATGAAATCGCTTCGAATATTCAAACAAAACAACAATATAAAAAAAATGCTGAGTTCTTTTAATCGTTATCTGTTCCGTTATTATGTCATTTGTAATTATTTGAAATAAAACCAAATATCACACAAAACACCAAAGTGGCTGAAATGTTTTTAAAATTCATAAAATAAGTAATCCATATTCAAATATTCTGCCTCCTTCTTTGTATAAACATTGTGCACACAAAGGTCACCTTTCTTTAAAACAGAACACCAATTTTCGGCCGGTTTGCACATATTTCCAGGGACAACCTCAACTGAACCTTGCTTATTTGCAGTATATGGTTTGTTTTCTCGTCATCAACATGATGTGAAAATATCAAAAAATCCGATTTATCTGGATTTTTATTCGTCGCTTTGTTGTTCACGGAAATTTACAGCTCAATTGAATTCATTGCCACTTTCCTTGTGTGATCTATATTCTACTGTCTCTCTATCCACTGCTAGAATTGGTCGAATATACCAAAATGCGTGTATTTTTTATGTATGTGATCTTGGAAAGATCATTTAAATGTTGCTAATTTAGGCATTCATTGGCTCAGATTAATCAATTTGCTATGATAAATATCGAAATGAAAAACATCTTTGAGTTTAATTTTCATCGATTTAATGAAATATAAAAATGACGGTAAATCACATTGTTTACGTCTTATTTTAAAAACACTTTAGTTGCTTTTGAAACGTTTGGCCGGAACTAAGGAATCGATGTGCTGATCGTTTTGGCGTTTACGGTCGGATTTTTCATCCATGGTCGCCGCATTTTGTGGATCATTAAAACACAATGCTCTTCGAGCTCCATCATTTTGTCCGTTTTTCTTATCGAAAATTTTTTCAACTTTATTGACTGGCGGAGTCTACAAAAAAATTCCACAAAACGGTTACATCACATTTTGAACATATCGAAAATTAAATTATCTATTTTCAGCTTGTTTTCAACTCACCGGCATTATTTTAATTATGCTTGGAATAATTTTCAAAGATGGTCCAATTCGTTCACTTGCTCTCTTTATTATGAACAAAAAATATGACTAAAAGAGAGTATAAAAATCAATCAGTGAAAGTTTGTTTTGCGTAGTCGCAGTTAAATAAATAATAACATTAAGATCCGATGATATGAGACCCGATAAATTTTTGAAATGTTTTAAGAATTAGGCCATAACAATTTTTTATTAACAAATTGACATATTACATTTTCAAGCCGAGAACTTATACATATCATTATGGCATGTCATATTCAAATATTTTCCCAATTTAATATAAGCTTCAATTCGTAATCAAATCTAAAAGACATTAAAATGGTTTAAATGAATCGGTAGCAATTTGATTTCGGTAGTAATAAAATCCTTCCATCGCGATCAATTTCGTTTCAATAAAAACAGCGTTCGATGGAATAATGTAGCAAAATTGTTTTGCATTATTTGCAAAAAATAAACACACATAAATGTAATTCGATTTTCATAAATATTTATTGAGCAAAGAACTTTAAAATTGTATGATTCAATGACACCTGATATGTGACTGTGTTACTTACATACTGCTCATTTTTTCAATAATATTTACATATTGCATTTTCAAATATAATTGATCGGTAGCTGAAACTGGCTCGTTCATAAGAGAATTTTATCCATTATTATGTGCAGAATAATGAATAATTATCAGCAGACAATATATTTAGCTGCCGTCATCTGGATATTTCAGCTCATCTGGATGCCGTCAGCAGATGATGCGAAGTGAAAACAATAGAAGTGATTGTTATAGTAATACAGCAAGCTTATATACCTATAACAATCAATTCTATTGTTTTCACTTTGTATCATCTGCTGACGATATCCAGATGAGCTGTAATATCCAGATGACGACAGCTAAATATATTGTCTGATTATCAGAATCAATACTTTTTCACTAAAGAGTATTTTTTTATCATTGAAGCCTCCTTTTTTGAAAAATTGCCCCCCGTTCTTTACCTTTTAATCGGTCCAACACTGAATATAAAATCTAAATTTAATATAAAATCTCCAATTGATCTTATTTTATCTAAGTAATTTTTTTTATTAATCGAATATTTCTTCATATTTTTTTTATTGTATTAATTTTATTAACAATCAAGGCTCTTTAGGCATTGTTGGTCAATGGTGTTTGCTTCAATTGTAGAATGATTGATCGCATTCGACTCACGTCGCGGCTCGATTTGCTTGATTTTGGATTGAAATCACACAGTTTTGCAATGCGTTCCCATTCGGTGCCCGGTTCAATTTCAGCTGTTTCAGCTACGAATTGCTTCTCTGCATTTCTGTATATTTAATAAACGGATATCAAATTAAAAACAAATTTTTAATTAGAAACATGATATTCAAACAAAAATGAACCAAAATAAAATGTCTATTTAACTAACTAGAAAAATCGGTTATAACAAAACAATATTATCTATTTAAAAGCTAAGATATTAAGGAAAAATTAAAAAAATGGTTGCAAAATGATGATCAATGTCAAAAATTAAATCACAAAAGCTGGAAAAATCGAAGCACCCATAGAGAAGTATCGATGTAAAGAGAAGTTATCCATACGTAATGGATGCATGTATGCAAATGTGTGTATGTAAGTGTATCAATATTTCTAAAATAACAATAACCTACCAAAAACCAACTAGAGCAAGCACAAAATCACACACATAGGTAATATTATAATTGTGTGCGTTTTTTTAATAAATGAAATCGAAAATGCCAAATGACTATGAAATCTACGAAATCCAAACCAAAGTAAAAACCAAAAATAGAAAGAACTAACTCCAATAAAAAGAACAAGAATAGGAGCAAACGATAAATTGTGAAAGAAGGTAGTTACTTGTGTACACAGATCAATTTTTAATGTTGACAAATCAGGTTGATATTGGTTAAATGAGAAGATAAATGATTGCAGTCAAATTGAAATGATTTTGTTGCAAATCCTTTTTTTTGAATTTGGAAACAAATGACGTTCAAATAAAGAGAAAAAGAGAGAAAGCTTTGAGTTGCTCTGTATCGATGTATCGACATATCAATTTATTCAACCCGTTCAGTAAACATTCAACAATCATAAAAAATCTTTGGCCAAATAATGTATATAATGTTTTGTGGATATTAATGAAATGCATGCCCAAAAAAATGTAATTCGATTGCCAAACCAAATTAAAAAAAATGAACAAAAGCGACGAATTTCGGATGCAATGCAAATAGAACACACACAAAATATGATTTGATTTGAAAACACAAACACGAGTGGATTACAAGGCATTATTTCATAAACACAAAAAGAAACATATTGGATCACATGAAAATGCTAATGTTTGTATATAGTAAAACTTAGCAAATAAAAAAATATATGTGTAAATTAGCTGTCGGTTTGTTTCTACTCACTTTGCCGATTCCCTGTGTTGTTTAGTATGAGGAGTTTTTGGTATTTTTTAGTTTTTTTTTCGTTTTTTGAAATTGACATTTTATGTCATTTTTTTGTCGTTAGGGAAGTGTGGTTGATAAAAAAAGAGGAAAAGCATAACTTTTAGCACCATATAGTAATCTTAGTTGTATAAAATATATAACAATTATTGTACAAGCAATATATCACTGTGAGGTGTGAAACATAGCACTGATGACGATCGATTCAAAAATGGGCGTTTTTAAATTATTTATTTACATTTAATCATTTTTGAACCGATAGTGTCTCTTCTAGTAACAATGGAAATGTTCATCAGTTTGAAATTCTCCATTTGCTTCATTTCACACTCGAATAAATTTGTTTCACATTTTTTCTGATAATATTTGTTTTTTTTTTTTTATCTCAAATGAATATTTGTTGGTAGTTTAGATAGCTGTAAGCCATTCTCGTACACAATTTAAAAAAATCATCATACAAAAAATGTATTTCTGTGTATATAATGTCATTCGTATTAGTAGATGTACTTTTTATTTTTATCTATGGTATTTCCCCTTCACAAAATGTTGACCGAAAAAATTATGCAACACTTGAACTATTTTCGACATCGTTTATATCCATATCCAAATTCATGACCATTTAAAAAAAATCTTTTCGCCACAAATCCAATTAAAACTAACTCATTGAATGAGATACCGAATTTTCTGTCAAGGTTTTTTGTTTTTAAAATAAATGTTTCAATTTATTTTCAGCCTATAGCTAAACTGTTCCCTCTTGTAAAGGAGAATTAAAAAAAATGAACAACAGCAAATAAAAAACAAACATTTTCGTTTGAGAGTTGGCAAAAAAAATCTGGTAAAAAAAGTTAAAAGCAGCGTAATCATTATAACGTAAAAGAACGGTAAGATTGAAAAATCTATAAACATGACTTCGAGAGACAAAGAAATTAGCAATAAAAATAAATTGAAAAAGAAAAAGAAAACACTTGATCCAGTCGTGTGAGGAATGAAAAAGAAAATAAAAACACATACCAGAAATGCGTTTAACAACAACAATAAAAAGACGAATTATAGGTTGAAAATTAAAAAAAAAAAAAGAATGAAACATAAGGTCTGATCGAAAAAGCGATTCAAGAAAAATTCAAACACATTTACGGAAATCTAAAAAAAAGTGGCCAGTTTTAGCAAAACCCAGTTTGGAAGAGACAGAGAAAGATAGATATAATAAAATAAGGGAAGAACCATATCGAATGTCGAAAATTGGAAATGTATTGTAAGTTAAATGTTTCCATTGAATTTACCTATTGGACGCTTTCGTTTTGCTGATCGCTTCCCCATGATTCTTGTACCAATCTTCCAGCTCTTTCTTTGCCTGATCGCGCAATTCCAACTTTTTCTTCTCCTCTTCGCGATCCTTTTCTTCGAGACGCGTTTGCTGTTCTTCACGCCATTTCTTTATTTTTTCCGGTTCTTCACGTACAGGTGGATTCACTGTTTATGAATACACACACACATACAAAATTCAGATAAATTTATTTCATTTAAACAAATTTAAAACACATTTATGTCTAGAAAAGGGTAGCAATTGTATTGTGGAATAAATCAACCGGCTAAGCCTATGAAGAGACAAAATGCGAATTCCCCTCATCTGTGCCATCTTGTATTCCATAGTTGAACTCAATTACAATGAATTGAATCGAAAAAGAGAAAAAAAACAACAACAGTAACATGGCTACATAGATCTGTTGACCAGTGAGATACGTATAGCAATGGAATGAAAGAATGAAGAAAGCGTATATGTGTATGTATGCATCAGCACGCATAGATGTACAGCTCTGTGTGGCCGTGCTATTGTTGTTGTTTTTTCACTTTTTCATTTCAATGCTACAGAATTAAATTCAGTTTTTGCATCTAATTCACACTAAAATCAGATGGCGCTCATTAGCGAGATTCGCAAAAAAAAGTCTCCAATCTCATACAAATATACACCGGCTGGAATAAATAAAACGGTGAAACACAAAAGCGAAAACGATTTATTTATAGATATTTTTTTAGCGAATTTCAAACAGTTTCGGTGTTAGTGGTTTTCATATAGCAAATGTGTGAGTACAATTGAAGTACGGCCACGAAATGAACGGTTTTGTTAAATTCGGTGTGTATGTGCTGATGTGAAAAATATGGCATTAAAATGAGGCACATAAAAAATGAAGCTTTTTTTGGCTCGATAAATTATGATTGAAAATAACCGGTTAATATAAATAATGAATAGTGAATGGATATGTTGGACGTGGATATTTTAGTTGTTCAACACAATGAACAAAGTGCAAAAAAGAATTTGTTAAACGGAAACAGAGCATAGGATAGACAAAATACGCACACGCACACACACACACTGCACACATTTTACATCAAAACAACGACCGCTTACCTTCTTCATTGAATTCGTATTCATGTTCATAGCTAATGAAACCTTTTTTTTTTCATTTCGGTGGAGGAACGAAAAAGAAAAATAAATGTACGTTTCGATTTGAAAATTAAAATATTTTAAAAAAATCATCATTAAAATTGAATGAAAGGGAAAAAAAAACATGAAATGTCAACTTAAAATTTACTGAAAATGAAATGAATGATGATAATAAATGCTGCGATTAATAGGGGCGGGTGGAGGCATTTGGTTAAAATTGCGTTTTATTTAATTCGCTCATTTGTTTACGCTTTCGTAATAATTGGGTTTAAATGTAGACGAGTATTAAAATGTATTTATGATGTTGGAGCAATGGTTTTCATTACCTGTACCGTTTGAAGCAGAAAAATCCTGTTCAATGTCATTGTTAATCATTTCAAAACTGCCGGAAAACTCTTGTTTACCATCTTCTATTTATGTGCGAATTTGCAATAAAATTTATAATTTTATGAGTATATGGCACACAATTGAATGGCAGTTGATGATGATGATAACGGATGAATTGTCAATTGAGTGTCGATTGCCAATTTGCAGGTGGTTATTAATATAAAGCCGATTTTTTTGAAATTTGTTTTTTTTTTAATTAAAGAAATCGGTGATTGTTGACGGTTTTTATATGATTTATCAACATTCCATAGCGAAACACGCAATTTCAAATAAATTTGATTGGTGTAAGTAATACAAAATGCAGCCATGTTAACATCAAATGAAAAGAAAAGAAAAAAAAAACAAAAATTAAAAAACAAAATTTAAACAAAAATTAAACAAGTAAGAATTGTTCAAAAAAAAAACATGTAAGTTATGTGAGTTTTTGAGTACTATTGTACAATCATCGCTATACGCCAAATAATAATGTTTAGTTCTTTGTTCATCATTTATCATTTTCGCCGTTGTGTGTGTAATAATGTTATAAACAAATTCAAGTTCAAGACGAACATATATGGAACGCCCCTTGGAATGTGATACCAAAGTAGGCCGTCAAAAGTGACAATGATAAATTCTGAAGAGTAATTGAATTATTGAGCGTTCATCACATCAAAAACTCTCTGTATTTCTTACAATTTAATGCGTTTTTCATCAATGCAATACCAATAAAAATGTCTATTGCTACGAAATGGAAAGTTTTTCGGTTTTCGTCTCTAGTTAACTGTCCATATTGTTGTTTTTGTATTTACCTGAATTGGCCGGTGCACCTTCACTGGTGTTTGATTCACTTGCTGCTGGAATAACATCGTCGCACAAACCAGCCAATTGATCTTTTTCACGTGCCAAAAATTCGGCAGCTGGATCAACATCAGCTTGATCAAAATTATCGCCAAATCCGTCCATGACTAATCCACCCTTTTTTCAAATATGTGTTACTTCTTTAGATACGATGTGATTAATTGTGTGTATGTTTAAGTTAACGGAAGACCACTCTCTCTCTCTATCTCATACACAAAAAATAATAACTATAAGCAAACAATTAAGCGAATTAGAAACAAACAATGAGCCACCCCAGTCGAAGATACGAACAAAAATTGCGACTGAATACGTTTATGGGAAATATGTTCGTAAAATAAATTACAGCATTCAATTGTCGTGCAATTTACAAATTATAAATTTACGCTTAGCTTACACAAAAGACACTATACGTCTTGTAGCTCGCACACAAACGATAGATATAAATACTTGGAAAAATCAATTTGTGTATATGTGGACAATGTTTGATGACAGTAAGCAATTCAAGTAATCACTTTTGGGTGTTGCCCGATTGTCGTATACGACGCACACAGCGACCTCTTGTTTTTACTCGTTTCGTCTTTTTTGGCATATTGTTTATGTATCGTAAATGGAAACTTTCTTGTTTTTTTTTTTCAATTTCGGTTTTGTCTTATTTGAAAGAACACTGGCAACCCATAACACATAAATTATACATATATATATATATATGTACCAGCCAGTCATTCGTCGTCATTTATAAGAGTATTAGACAGTGATTTGATATTGTTTTAGGTTGAAAAAGAAAATTTATTTTGAAATTCGAATTTATATTTTTTGTCTGTCGTAACAAAAAAAATAAACATTTTTTCGTAATGTCGATTAATACTGCTCATGCAAATAACGGTGTGTTAATTCATGCTGGAGAAGCGTAAGTAAAGTTATTTTTATGAAAACATTCACGATGTAAATACGAATATATACCTTGATTTTGCACCGTTTCATTCCATTTAAATGAATCGAAATTTAAACGACATGTCATGTGAAAATTATTTAGAAAAAATGTCATCATTTTGGTGTGGATTCACAGATTTTAATCAACTAATTTCCAAAATTATTCAAAGAAAAAGAAGCATACATTGCAATTATTGCGCAAATGTAATGTTCAAACGATGACTCATTCAATCATATGACGTGAGCGTTTTCTCGTTTCCTTTTACTCTATCAATCTGATAAATATCAATGTATACGCTGCTCAATAATTTTGCTGGATGCTTTTTATCAACGAATCAGTTGATTATATACCGGAATTTAGTTTACATTCATTTTGTGCTCTCAATATTTAATGAGCCACGATACAGAAAGTTGACAATCATACAATGTTTTTCGGCTTTAAACCGAAAACACTTGTGATTAGGTTTTTGTATTTATGACGTGTGCCGTTGATATTTGATTAGCACATTCGGTGATTGATGTGTTAATGTTTTCAAAACACTTTGAACCGATATCAACATTCATCTGTATATTTAAATGTGTATGAGTTTTAATGAACGTTAATTTAAACAATGATTCATCGCTCCCATTAAATAACAATTAACTATTTTTGTATTATTTTTTCTTGCTTTGCTTTCAGAATTTTGATATTCAGCGAAAATGTAACGATTGAATTTTCTGGCCAAGATGGTCCATTGTTCAAAGGCACCAAACATGGTAGCATCTATTTGACCACACATCGTTTGATATTCAATGCTAAGAAACTTGAAGATGCCATGAAATCGTTCAGTTTTCCATTTATCTGTTTGAATGATGTTGAAGTCGAACAGCCATTGTTCGGCGCAAATTATATTCGTGGAAAAGTTCGAGCACAACCGGATGGAAATTTCATTGGCGAAGCAAAATTTAAATTGATTTTTAAATCAGGCGGCTGCATTGAATTCGCTCAAGCAGCACTAAGAGCCGCACATATGGCACAACAGAATGCTCATGGTGCCGAACCACCACCATATACACCACCATCAGGTAAATGACATTTAGAAGCATTTTTGTTTTCATCATGATGAGATTTTTATAACTTTTTTGCATGGTTTTCGTTGAAGGTGATTGGCACCAAGCACCGCCACCTGCATACACACCGCAGCCCGGTTTCTATGGATGGTTGCCAAATTCTGTATTCCCAAATAATCCCGATCCATCACAAGTTTATATGCACGATAGTCCACCACCCTACCCTGGAATCGTACCAAACAGTATGCCAACTTTTAAATTTTCTCTGTTCACTTCCAGCTTAGAGGACAGAGTACAAGACGTAATTGAATCGATTTTTCTTTCAGATCCACCCCCAAGCTATGGTGGCTATCAACAGCCTGGCTACCCAGCACAAGCTGGATATCCACAAGTACCACAAGGAGGTAATGGCTATCCCCAACCAAATGCTGGTTATCCCGGCCATCCGGCAGCAGGTGGGTATCCACAGCAAGTACCAAATGCAGCACCTTATGGTAACTCAGCACCAAGCTGTGAGTTTTTCTTTTGATTTGCAATTTTTTTTGTTCCTTTTTTTCCTGAAGAAAGTAAGACGAAAGTATTTTTTATGTTGCTTTTTTGCATTTCTATTGCACTAAATGTCTTGCTGCATGTTTTTATGTGTGATTTTCATATCAATCTGTACACGTGATGATCGCTTGAGAATAATATTTTGATTCCGTATCAGATCCACAAGGAGGTTGGCAAAATCCAGGATATCAACAACCTAGCTACCAACCCCAAGGACCTCCTAGCTATCCACCACAAGGACCTCCTAGCTATCCTCAACAAAATTCTGGATATCCTCAGCAAAATGCAGGGTATCCTCAGCAAAATTCTGGTTATCCATCAGGAGGAGCCTCTGCTGGTGGTTATGCACCACCACCAAGTAAGTATTTTAATATTAAATTATTAAATTAATACGTAGAATAATTGAAAGAAAAATTGAACGACGAACTTATGCCCATCGTGAATATATAGTCTTGACAAAGTTATTTCCTCCTATAAAATTTCAAAATGAACTTTGAGTAGTTTTCATTTGGTTTTAATGTTTTATATTATGTCTATTTGTCTATGCTTTCTGTTCAACTTTATTTTTTGGATGCACTGTGATGTTCTTGTAATTGACTATATTTTTTCGTGCAGACATGTAATATGTTTTTTGGTATTCAGATTCAAAAGAAGAAGAAGCAGCACAATCTTCATATAATCCCGTTCAACCAAATGGTCCCTATGCTCCACCACCAGGTTATAATGTAAGTGATTGTAAATTAAAATAAAACTTTTAACTAAAAATGTACTATAACTTGAATTATCTATTTCTTAGGATCCACCACCAAGCTACAATTCATTAAGCGACAGAGAACGAAAGAATCAATAAACATCTAAACATAATACAATAGCATCGAATAATAAACATTTTATATACATTTTCTATGCAAATATATTGATAGTATTATTGGCCGCCATTTAATCAATTATTGATATAATTCGTGGCTAAAGTGTCAACAGACATACACATAGGAGAAAAGCCTCTAAAATTTTACTAATCAATCTAAACACTGTAGTCGTTTAAATATTATTTTTTTCACATTTATTATATACCAATGTGGATATTTTAATTATGAATTGCAGTGCATGAATAAATTATCTGTATATTTTCAAACATTTTTAACCAAAGGATGAGCATTCCAATATTTATTATGAAAACGATAGAAAGAAAGGGACACATTCTAAAAATATGATTATATTCAAACTAATTTCCGCTCATTATTTCAATTTTTAAAGAAAAATATTCAAATTGTTGTCGTTGAAAATTGTCAAAAAAAATCTATATAAATTATCTTTGTATCATAAATTAATTTCAATAAATGTTACACAAAAAAGAACAACAAAAAAAAACGGTGTACTATTATAGTTACTAGTGTGGCCGAAGGTAAAATAAGAATTACTCATACACTGCCATAAGTATGGCCATTATGGTTTCCAAAATATCAAACTCCGCATTTGGTCAACTTACGACCAGTTCCATCAGGTCTACTGTAAGTATAGTGTATTAAACTAAAAAAGACAATATCAGCTGTTCACTCACATACAATTGAATGAACTAGAACAAAACCCCGAAATTGTGTTTTTTTGTATATTTAATTGATGATTTATTTTGAATAAATGTTTTTATATTTATTTGCATAATTTTTTTTTTCATAAATATACGCTTGAAATCTGTTCCATTTTCCAATAGTTTGCCTTTATTCAAACATTATTTCATTGTTTTTAAAAGATTTTCATTGAGATTGAACTGTATGCAGCTTGGTATTCAGTAAACTAGAACGATCCTTTGCAATATTTTTTTCATTCCAAACATATTGCAAATATTGGCCTGTATTGAAAAAAGTAATACAATCGATTATCTTCGGGTGCTAATTTTACTTGATATTATAAATTACCGAATGAAAACATGATCGGGAATAACATCACAAAATCGAGCATATCCCATGAATTGAGAGATAAGTTGTCCTTTTGCCATTTCCTGTAATATTCTCCAAAATCGTGCCTTTCACGATCAAAGAGACCGAATGCAACTCCCATAGTACGTAAATTTTGGTCAATTGTTTTCACTTTTTTCAGTTCTCTCGTCATATACATGATCCATAATATTGGAGAAAACATTACAATTAGATTGCTGCAATATTCCAAAATATTGAATCGATTCGCCAATTTTAGAGTCGAACAACCAACTAAAAATATTTATATAAAATATTAATCACAAATCACAATGGAAAATATTTCGCTCACAATGATGTACCTGACAATATAGTGACAGCGTAAAAAGCTACCACATGTAAAGGAGTGCGATAAACAACTTGCGCTTCAATGTCAGATTCACAGCCGAAAATTATCGAGATTCCTCCCAACGTGATGATGCTAATACAACATAAAACTTTCACGATTATAAATGGAGTTTTATGCAATAGTCGTTCATCTTTAGCCTATGTTTGTCAAAATGATCTCTATTATTTGAAAGAACTTAAAACCAAACGGAAATATATATCCGTTTTATCGGCAAATGAGTTTTACTTACATCATAATAAATGATTGACAAATGAAATAGTGCATTTGATATCGCAAAGGTGCCAGCACCAATTATACAAAACATATAATACGGCTCCTTGACTTTGTGAACAATCAATTCATTGCCCAATATCATAATTGACATGTAAATAGATGTTTCTGAGAGCAAAAATGTTAGACACTGCAAACATATCTTCGTGCAACGTCTTTCCCATTCGATATCTGGGATTACATTTATCATTGGCAGTGATACTGTATTAAACATGGAAAATGAGCAGTTTATATTCGGTTGATTGAAAAAAAAATAAGCTTCTTTAATATTCAGTACCTGTTGCCATGTTGAAATAAAACCAAGTAGATATGAACAAACTTTCGAAATCCCGTTCTTCATGTTCTTGCTAAGAAAAAAAAAACATTTAAATTTTAACACCTTTCACTATAGAATTTATTCATTTTTATTACCAAAGCCAAATTGTACACGATTAGGAAAATGAATAGTATCAGTGCAGAAATAGTCATTTTCAAATTAAACTATTGGTGTTTTAAATTTTGGACATCAAACAATATTCTGAATAATTTAAAAAAAACTCGCGTTCAGCGCTAGAATATTTACACTGTCACCACATATAACAGTACATATGAAATGGCAGTGGATTTGGCCGTATATTTTGATCAAACAATGATAGATTCCTAGGTAAAATCAGATTCATTTACACACATACATGCTCAAATTTGATGCTGTAATAAGTGTGAGTTTATCAGAAAATAAAACAGCTGGCAGATTGTGTACCCCTCTTACAACCCTCACATAGACATTTCTGAGGGGTGAGTTACTTCTGAAAATTATAAACATTGCTACTAGAGGTCATCGAACTGCAAATAAATAGTCATAAATTTTCCTGAACAAAAATGTGCACCTTTCGTCTAGTGATAACTAGTTTAAATTAGAATTGTAATTGTCATGAAAAATCGAAGGTGATATTGGTTCTTTAGTATAATTAAAAAAAAAAAATGAAAAATTGAATAAAGAGCACCCTTAAGATTAAAGACAGAAACCCGCTGAACACTTCAATCGGGTTTCCAATTATTATGAATTATTACATGAATTAATTTATATGCAAAATCCAACTGAATATTTTCATCTTCAGCAAAACTGATTTCTTTATTTGGTTTTCTGATTTTTGCTCTTATTAATGTATTGTATCCGTTAAAAAGGTCGCGCGGAATTTTGTAAGGACTTGATATTGTGTTGCCGTCAACGATTGAAGTGGTAACACTATATTTGACAGTTCAATGTGCTTCAAGTTACAATTCAAAAGATATACTTTCTCGGAGAACATCATTAGATTTACGAACATTCGTTAAAACAAATTAATGTAAGTAATGTAATTAATAATATTTTTTTTACTTTAAATTTGACAAATCTGTAGATTTACGTGAAAATGTAAAAATTTGTTAAAAACTTTTAAATATTTTGTTCAATTTAAGACTTAAATAACGGAATCGACGAAATAAGAAGACATAATGAACGGAACGAAGATGTGCGATATGCATTCGACGCTGATGGCCATAGATCCAGGTGGTGCTGTAGGAGTGGATCTGATCGATGATTGTTTGGAATATACTTCAATTTCATATCACAGTGTGATTCTCATAAAAAATTGAAGATGATATTGGGCCTTCTTTATTGGTCCTAACTAACATGTGACGAATAGACAACCGTAAACTCTATGATGCAGCAAAAATTCAATATTAACAATTAAATTCTGTCGCTCACTGATAATAAACCGTTCGAAAAACTCATTCACATTGGTCTGAAATAAACTCAATTTATCACGAATTTGTAAACTTTTATTTGCATAAAAACCATGATTAATTCGAATGCATAATTTGTCCAATTATTGCTACTTACCGAATAACATGCACATGTTCCAAATTATGAATCATATGCGATGATATTTAAGAAAAATGGTTGAGAGAAAACATGGAAAAAGTACGTTTTAATCAAATCCATTTATTTCATTTTGTATTTTAACATGTTTTTTTGTTTTGTAAATTTCACACACATGATTAATGTGAAAAGTGACAGTTTCGATAAGAAATGGTGTTCGTTTGGTTGCTTCTTTTCTCGTGAAAATTATATTTATTGATTGCGCGGTGTTAATGTAAGCCAAAGAATATTGCTCTCTTGCCACAATGGCTATCTCACTCATTCATCCATGCGATAAATCGCAATAAAATACACTTAAATGTTTAATTATGTAGATTCGAAAAAAACGACTGTCTAAGTGTACAACAGGACACATTGAGCGAAACCAAGGGGAATTTTACATTTATTTTTCAACATTTCTACACAGGAACGATATCGACTATTTTTTTAATATTTAAATTGGTTTTGTTCTTCAACACACCGATCTGTATGCGTGTCTCTTTCTCTTCCATTCTGTCACTAACATTATGATTGACATTTTTATTCCAAAACATTTTTCTATTGGAACGGGTTTTTCTTAGACATTCGGACACCATCAACTAACATTGAAAATAGGAATTATGGTTTTTGGTTGAAATGGTAAAATATAGACAATAGCCAAATGTTAAAACAAAAACAAGTCAGTTTTGCGAAACGAAAATAATCAACTCTTAAAGCCAATTAACACACTGCGTTTGCAGCACTTTCAATGGGGAAAAAGTTCGAACTGAAAAAAAAGAATAGTTGATAATTTTGCCAAATAAAGACATACTTCAAAGTTGCAATTGGTAAAAGGGGTTTAGTTTTCTGACGAATTTTTGGGTATCTGCGATTTATTTATTTTATCTTCTATTTTTACATTTATATATATATATATATTTAATATAAACATATATGATTGTTTATCAGTTTGTCATCTCCGCTGCATTCTATATCTCACAATTCTTTCGATTTTATCATCTTCTATCCTAACATCGAATGGTATCGAGTGTTTCGTTTTACTCTTTCTTTCATATTTTCTTTTTAACTTTCGACCTTAAAAATGGTTTAATTACATAAAATTGCCTCCAATGATAATTATTACAAAATATTACACTTAAATAAAATTCTATAGTGGAACATAGGATCATTAATCTAAATGTTTGCATTGTTTTAATTTTTTTTGTTATTTTACTTCACAATTTTGTGTATTTCATTTTTGACTAATCATTTAATTCATAAATTTTTTGTTTGCTTATGTGAGTGTGTACTATGTGTTTAAGAATTGATTTGTGTACTTCTTCTTGAAAGTCGTGTATGCCATATGATTACGTGAGATAGTCCGTTTGTGAACTCATGTAGGAATGATAATTTTATTTCTCTTCTTCTCTCTATTAAACAACATACAAAATGAATGTGAATAAAATCCCAATGTTTCACCGATTCAAACCGATTTGATGAAACGCATTTGTTCCACTTCTTCTTCTGCATTCACCGTCGCCATATCTCTGTTTGTTTAGCATTTCTATTTTGTGTTAAATTACGAATTGGGTAGTGGTTCCAAGTAACACGTAACAGTGTTATTTTCATTCAACATTGCAGATATATTGCGGCCAATTTGTGGCGGATGCTTTGGTTCTTGCTGTGACTGCACAGACCTGTCAATAGAAAAAAACCATCGAAAAATTTAAATAAATGATTGTGTGTGTGTTTTTTATTGCACATTGTGCTCTATCAATTCAATGACATGAATTCTTAATATACCTGCTGTGAGGCGGCTGTTGTTGCTGTGCCGTAATTGCATCCATTTTATGGCTGCTATTCGTATGGGCTACTCGAATGTTTTGCAATAAATTGTCGCTATCTCTGGTTGGTGAATGTAGATAATCATTTAATTCACTGCCATCACAGTTTTCATTTGTTCTTGTGCTTAAAATTTCCTCATAAACCGGCTCTTCATCAGCATAGCTATTATAATTTTGTGGCGGCATATTATTACATTCGACAGCAGCAGCTGTTCCAGCCACCGAAGCAGCGTTCATTTGTTGCTGTCGACTAATATGCCGTGCATTTGGATTTGTATTTAACCATGAATTACGATTGTTCATATCACGCCCATTGAAATCGCCATTCGATCCGAATGTGCCACGCATATTTGGATGTGATGGTGAATGTGCATTGGCTGATGATTGTTGGTATTGCATCATTTTCTTTCGATACGATGGATAATTTTGGCCTTGAGCATGCATCATTTCAGCACTGCCACCACCACCGCATATTGAATCGTCGACAATTTGATGACGCGACAATTTATTCAATTGGTAACTGGTTGGATCGGCGGTTCCCGTCCAATACGAGTAATCATGTTTCATTGGCGATGAAAGCATTTGTTGTGTTGAGCTTGAACCTTGTGACTTCAATGTTTTACTACTATTGCCCATCTTACGATCATAGTACATCATTTTTGCATGATCATCTAAAGAGAAACGAAACGAAACAAAAAAAATAAAATTAGAAAGGGAATTATTACATAAAATCGAGCAATAAGATTAATCGATTATGTCGATTACAACATTACACATACCGTGTAGCTGATGAAACTGTTGTGAGTTAGCTGAATGCGGATAAATGAGTTCGGGATTTTGAAAATCATATTGGCCATACTTGTGGCCACCGGCATATTTGGATGAACCGGCTGGTGACATGGCACCACTTCGATGTTCACGTAATGTACCCGAATACGGTGGCATCGCATTGTGACGTTGCATTTGATGATGACGCATCAGTGTGCTAGTTTGACCATGCGGATGATGTGATGGTGATACGGTTAGGAATGTTCCGGTAACATCGGCTGCATCGGGACCATTTTTCTTTTTTGTTGATGTATTCGATGCTGGAAGTAATACATTTGCGCTCAATGCATTATTCGCTGGACTGGCAGTCGGTTGATCTTCATTCGTAATGACAGCACACTGCAAGCATTGTGGCAGCCATGAATTTTTCACATATTTCTGATATTCACGACGAATCTAGGAAATTTAATAAGATTTTTTTTTATTTCGATGTTCAGTCTATGTGTTTGGTGCCTTTGTGAATACGCAGACATACAAACGAATACTTACTCGTTCATTTTGTAGACAGTGATAGCACATAATGAAAGCGCCTTGTATAATATTCAAAACTACAAATCCATAGCCGTAGAATGTGATATTTGCCTGTGCGCCACTGTAGTAATACGTTGATAATGTGCCAATTGAATCGTATAGCCGATGCAAATTGACCATATACAAATAGGCACAGATCCAGCACGCGACGAAAATGAGTTGAAAAATAAATGAACCATGCAATTGGAATCTGTGATTTCGCCAAAAAAAAAAATTGATTAAACGTGTAATTAGTAATTTGTTTTTAAAAATTATCTTGCATTCACAGGTAGATCGATTAAAAATTAACGAAAAAATTGTACACACCGAATGTTGGCTAATCGTGTTTGCTCCTTGTTTTTCAATGCAGTTTTATGTTTTTTACATAAAACAAATACCGATATTATAATGTACGCAAAATTAGCCTATTATAGAGGAATAAAACGAGCAAAAAATAGAGAGGGACATATTTGATTAGATTCTTGATAAAGGGCGATTTACTGGCTGGAATGGTATGTAGATCCAAAAATAAAACTAAAATAAAATTAAAAAAAAGTGTATATGTAGATGGTCATTACCAGAATATAAACGCAGCATGGCATTACGAATGTAATATAAAAGAGATAGCTTTGTTCCATCCAAACGCATGCATCGGCTTTAATCGTATAAGCGCTTGGATCAATACCTAGCGATATAGCGACTATGGTAAACGAAAGCCCATACGTGATTAGATAATATGAAATAACACGCGACGAACTTTCCACATCTAGCAAAATCTCCTCGGTGGTAAGGACAATGTACGATTGTAAGCCTGAAATGATTGTTTTTTTTTTGTCATATGTCATTGAATTGTTTCAAATGGTTTTCGTGTTCTCGCCTTCACACGGATTTATTGTCATTGTTGTTGTTGTTTCTCTCTCGATTTTATTTTAATTTATATGGTGCAAAAACACGCATAAGCATAAATTCATTAAATTTAACAAAAATCTTTGTCATTCAGTTATAAAAAAGAACAGAAAAGCAGCGCAAACAAACGAGCGAGGAAGACAAGCAAGTGCATATTGAAGAACGATTAAAAAAAAACAAACAATTGAAGAGCGACACACTTACCTTCTAAGAAACTCCAACTGATTGTGCATAGGAATGCACAATGTAAAAAGGCTGTTGTAAAACCGCACAACATGTTCGATTCATTTTGAACGTTACCCAACCAAATGAGCACTTCAGTTACCAATAGACAGATGTATAGATTTTTATAAATTGTCGTTCGATTTGACTAAAAAATTGTAACAGAGAAATAAGAGAGAAGAGAAAGAAAGAATGAAAAAAAAGATGATTTCAGTTTTAGTATATCAGAAACAAATGCCAAAATTCAATGAAACAAAAAAAAATTGTTGGTTTTTTTGTGTATACAAATTCGAAAATAAAACATGTCAATTTGGAAAAATGTTCAATTTGATTAATTTGGTCGTATTTGTTGTCCGAAAATGGTTTGAAAGAATGAAATGAAAAAAAAAAATCTCAAATAAACTGAAGACAACACACAAATTGAATAGAATTTGATGTCGTCTTCAACCACAAAATATGACTTGATTTGATCTGATATCCAAAACAATGATTCTACAATTTCGCTACAGATTTGTTACTCTTTACACATCCTTGTCACTTAAAAAAAATACAATAGTGATAATTACAATTACAAGAATGAAATTGAACGAACACAAAAATAATGAGCGAGATAATCAAAAATGAAAATAATAAATGTCAATATTTATTCTGTTTTCGTTTTATTCGATTATGAAAAATATAAAAAAATTGTGTATTTCTTATTTTTTTCGTTTTTTTATAAATGAGTGTGTTTGATGCCGCTTTTATTCTTCCGATAATAATCCGGTTATTGTATTTATTGCAGAAAAATGGAAATTGCAAACTAAACAGAGAATTGGTGTGAGTGTGTGTATTGTATAGATTTTACATGGCTTTTTTTACAATTAAAAAACAAGCGATAAAAACTGAGCGATTTTTTTTTCATTCTCAGTTGTGTGTTAAGTATGATTTCTGTGTCATTTTGGATTTTTCTTAAAAGAAGATGATCAAAGGATGTGTCCAGAGATGTTTTCGAAATGAAATTTTGGCAAAATTTTGTAATTGAATCAATTTTTCGAATCGCTTTCAATCAATTTTTTCGAATCTAGATTTTCTTATACGCATGAAATCATACTTACAAATAATCGATATTTGTACATGAAATTAATGATGACACCCTAAACATTAAAACTATCACAATGGTTTTCTATTCGTCTAACACTTATGCGCATTGAATTAAATAAAATAAAATTGTATAATTGGATTCATCTAAAAAAAAGTCTTTGTAAGATATTAAAAAAAAAATAATTGTTTTTCTAAATAAAAAGAATAAAACATTCGTGTGTGAATTAAAAAAAAGCTTTGCACAATATTATTGCAGTTGTTATTGTATGTGTGTCCCTAGACGATTTGTTGAGAGTATCGTGGATAGTGCGAATGCAGATGACCTTGTAAGTGACCACGAGCAATGAAATTGTTTGGATTGCCCATTCTTGTCATGGAAAAGTTCTCATTGGTGGCATTGTTGGTGGTAGTGGTGGTGGTGGTGGTGATGGTTGTGTTGGCGACGGTCATACGGCCACCGATCGTATTGTCATCATTGTCCGTTGCATTCAAATTCATTTCGCAACCATCACCACCGCTGGCATCGCCACCTTTACGCAAATTCATTATTAAATTATTGTCATCAGTGTTTCCATCATTGACGGCATTATCGGCGATTTTAATGCCTAAACTATTGTTAACATTGGCCGAATTAACGGTATTTGCATTGAATACATTCGAATTGAATACAAAATGATTGTGAGCATTGCCATGCTGTGGTGGCATCGGTGGCAAATGAAAATGATGATGATAATGATGATGAAAATGCTGATAATTTTGCAATGGAATTCGTTCGCTTAAGCTATTTACTGCGCTAATCGTACAATCATTGTTTGGCATCGTTAAAACATTTTGTGGATTTTCATTATTAGTATTATGCATTGGACGACCACGCATTGATTGACATGTGTGTGCATTTTCGGCGACACCAACATCACTATTGCAATTATTATGATGATGATTATGGTACACTTGATGTTGTGTGTCAATATTATTACTACTTAATTGTATTGAATTTGTTTGTAATGTATCTTGTCCATTTTGTTGTCGATTTTGTGTTCTTACCTTAATAAAAATGCCATTAAAAAACTTTAGTGTTAACAGGGCTATTACTACAAATACAATACATATGGCAATGCTGATTGAGATTAGAATGCGCATATTTTCATCGAAAAGTCCAATTTGTTGAATAAATTGCGCCGTATCATCGATAACATCCATCAATATGGCAAAATTCGTCAAATGATTGCACATACAAATTGTGTGCGTTCGATTTGTTTGATCAATGTGACATCCATCCTCCGACCATGCACTGTGTATCAACAAATGAAATTTAAACAAAACCCGGAAGAGAAGAAAAACAAAAACATTCACCAAAAATTATTTAATATGTTCGAAAATGGATTCAAATTCGAATTGCATTCGAATTAAAATAGTAAATAAAAAAATGTTTCATACTGATCAATATAATTCCAGAATACACATGTTGGATTTGTAACGTTGTCGGTTTGCAAATGTTTCAATATCAATCGAATCGGTTGAGATAATTGGATGTGTCGCCCTTTGCCCAAACTGGCCGATATCACTTTGCTATTGAGAATTCGAACACGAGATTGCTGCGTTTGTGTTGTATTCACATTCTCTTTTGCGACCGGAGCATATTCGGACGGTCCTGAAATCAAACAACAAACGAAAATAAATTAAATTTTCAAAATTCATTCATCACATTTCAAATGATAAGAGAGGTAATTAATGTGGTCGAATAAAATGGCATTACCTATTGTTTCATCATTGCTGACACTGTCATAGGATTTTGGTTCGTTTGTGGCTGAATCAAGTGGCCGAAGAATCGATTCAAGCCGATCGAATGCCACAAATACGATGCGCACTAATCCACCTTCGCTATTCTCAAGTAAAGCTCCTCGTGGTAATTCAATGCTATCTTCACTATTTGTCTCTTGCTCAATTGTTTTGTCAGGAAATACTTGATTGCTCACAATATTACGTGTTTCAAGGACTCGAACAGATAAAACTGTGAAAAGGAAAGGAAAGCAAAGCACACAAAAAAGCGCATACAGTTTCATTATCCGTTTAAATGACATTGTTCAATTTTCCTCAATATACATTATTATTATTATTATTATTATTATTAAATGGACTGACAAAGTGAAAAAAAGAATTAATTGAATCGACTTACGAATATTCTTGACCTTTTGCACCACACTTCGTTCGGCCGCTATTGTATCGGCAAGTAAAAAGGCATTATCTTCTAATCCGGTTAATAGCGATGTAGCAACTCGCATTTGATCTTCAAAGCTTAAGTCCATCCACGAATATTGCTGGGTTTCATCGAGCAAATTGCTTCCCGTTTTTACGACACTGTTCAGAAGCTCCAATACGACCGATTCACGTTGACGTTGATCGGAAAATGTCTCAATGTCATAGGTCATTTTTTCGCATAACGATTGAATGATTTTCGTTGTTACGAGCATATCGCCACCGTACAACGTTTTGCTATTAGTAACCTGTAAGAGAAATGAATATGTTTCAACAACAACAACTACAACAACCTCATTTTGTGTAAATTAAAATTATCGATTAGATGTCAAAAGAAAATTGAAAACGGTTTTTATGGTGTTGCCGGATGAGAAATTTACCTGTGATAAATCATTTGCGATGCTGACCAAAGCTGAATCCCGTTGATTTACACGAACTTCGAGGCTATTCAGCCATAAACTTCGGCACTGTGTGAGATCTGGTGTATTTGGTTGCCACATATATCCACGTTCTGTGTTGCTTGCATACAATGGATCATCATCCATATGATTGTCATTGATGTCGTCGGCCATTTGATTACGCACCAACGACGGTAATTTTTGTGATTTTGTTGGTAAAAGTGTGCCAGAGCATCGCCATTTGGCAATGCCGGTGGAACCGGGCGGACATGGTTGTACATTGATTTCACCCACTCGGGTATAATTCCAAAAGAGATTCCGTGCTGTGGTCGAACCACAATAAAGACCACTTGTGTCATCGCCGTAAACATTATTATTGTTAATTGTGTTCATTGACTGTGCACCGGCTGTTTTTCCGGTATTAGCAAAGTCTTGTTGCGAATTGCCATCTTCATTTCGATCATCATTAGCTCTATCGCTGTCTTCATCTTCATTGCCGTTTTCCGAATGGATTGTTTTGGGTGGCGCTGAAAATGTTGACGATGACACTGCATTGTTGCCGCTAAGATTTATTGCTGAATTTTGATTGCTATATATTGACTTGGTGACTGCCGCAACCGATGCATTTTCATTATTTCGATTGGTAGTCGATGATGCATTGAATGTTTCATGGTTGGCATTTTGTGTGCCGCTTACTTTCGATTTTGTCACAGATTTAGGTCGATTCGATACCGAATCATTTGAATTACTACTTGGTTTGCTATTACTAATATACTCGTTATCACTATTGGACTTGTTGCTAACATTAAAATTATTTCTGTAAATGAAGAAAGCGAAAGAAAAAAGATTGATTTGTTTGTGTTTTATTCAGTTTCGTTTCATTTTGCTATTATTCAAGCAAACAAGAACGGGCGAAAAAAAAAATGTCAAAATGGTAAGAGTGACAGGGAAAAATCGCTCACCTATTTACAATACTGTCAACTGTAGACAATGAATCCAAGTCACGTATACGGGCTGTCGTTGGATAGCGTATGGTTGATGTGCCCCAAACGCTTGGTTGTGATGTTATCAGCCACGCTGGGCTTGGCCGAGCTGTTGTTGATGTGGCTTGTGCCGCTAGAACAATTGTGAATGAGAGAGAGAGAGAGAGAGAAAGAGAGAAAAATAAATGAAACCGCAATTTAGCTCATACACACATAAAACAACCCTAATCAAATGCGACAAATTATTCATCATTCAGCCGAGAATGAGAGCGAAAGAATAAATAATACACAAAAAAAGCGGGTCGACGCTTACCTGATACACATTGATAATGAGCTTCTAAGTATTTATGTGTGCCGGGACATGGATCGCCAAATGTGTTTGTGCTGGCTAATATACTGCAATTTTGCTTGTGTGAACATTTTGCGTACAGTACACGCAAGCTTTTAGCCGACATGCAATTGACACTCCAGTCGACATTGCCTTGATCATTGCAAATTGTTATTGAAAATCGGCCATAATTTGCACGAATCAAATTGATCACATAGCCCGGCTCACATCCGATTGTCAACGTTTTTTCCTCACATGCGTATGCCGTATCATATTTGGGCGCTGCACGACAAAATCATCATCATCATCATCATCACCAAGTCGAACACAATGAAAGAAAATAAAAAGAAAACAATAAGCGTGAGTCACTTGAGATTTGAGGTTTGTTCGATTTTGATGAGCGAACAATTTCCGAAGAATTTCAATGGAAAACCACAAGCGGAAACTTTTCGGGCCAACCAAACGAAAAAATAAAAATAAAAAAAAATAAAAATGAAATGCGAAGAAGGCGGTTGACATTGTCTCGTAAATAACCGTTTGGGGTTTTCAATTGGCAATAATCATCTAGTAGATGACGAATGCAAAAGTCATTTTAAAGTTTCGCAATGCGTCACATGCTTCAATGAACACTGATCCAGCGCCCAACTTGCTCGCTCGCTTGCGCTTATTTGTTCGCCCAAAACGGAACGATAAAACTTTCAAAAGACAATTTACATGTCGCGCATCTATTGATGAGTCTCTCGTTCGCTTGCATGAAACAAGAGAGAATATGAGTGTTCGAGCTCATGCACCGTCAACTAGAGATAGATGATAGACTATGGGTGCCTCCTTGCCTGAATTTATTTTATGTTTATATTTATATTCCATTCGTCAAGTGAATGCTGTGCACGGCAATTCGTGCACGAACAAACCGGCGATATGGATGGATTTTAAATGAAATAGATGGACACGTTTATACTTACTGACAGCAACAACGGAAACTGGATATATCGACAGTGATACAAATAGCGTAATGTACAGAGATATCATTAAAGTATTAACTAAATTAGTGGCTAAGAGATTTGGTTTAACGACTATTCGTTCATGCGACGGAGACGATTGCTGAATTTGTGCGTATTGGCTGTGGCTGTTGCTATTTCGGTTGCTGTTGATATTTTGGTTTTGGTTGTTATTGTACTGGTTGTAATGATGTAGTCGTTGTCGTGTATCGGTTGTACGGTAAATGTTCTGGAGGTGAAGCAGCAACGTTGATAAAATTGCCGTGGCTAAGTTTCCGGCTGCGATGATGTCTATGACTTTCTTCGGTAATTTACATATAGATGACATTAAAATAATGAGCAAAACGGCATGTGGCTGTTGTTTCGGTCGATGTTTGCGTTCGTGATTTGGCCTTTTCATCAAAGTTTCTTCTCACTCAAATACGCGGTATTAAAACATACAACAACCCAAAAAAAATTAAACGAAAATTCCGAACAAATTGGGTGTTGTTGCTGTTGTGTTGCTTCTTTGTCTCTCCTCTGTGAATCGTTTGACGTTTTTTTTTTCTTTTTTGTTTTATCTCTGTTTTTCTACGTTAATTTTCGTGTATATTTTTCCCGATGTTTTGACGATTGGTGACAGCCGCAGAAAAATGCGCGCGCGTTTCCAACCGAAAATTATGAATAATATTTTTGTTGAATGTATTTTATTTTCGGGTTCAAAAAAGATAAAAACATTTGTTTTCTCTCTTTTTTTTCTCGTGTGGATTATTTTATCGTAATGCGATCGGTCGATGCTCCTCACACGCTGAGCGATTTTCGATTTTATTATCGATTATCTCGTTGAATTCGAACCGCATGAATAACATATGCGCTTGGCGTATATTATTTTTCGATCGTTTGAAATATGCGTTATGTGTTATGTATGCGACTTTTTTTAAACAACAAAAAATGGGTTGACACAATTGATATATTAGATTGATAGAAAACAACCGAGAATATTTAAAAGGTTAAAAAAAGGAAACAAAAAATTGTATCTATCGCTCGGTTTGTATGTGTTTTTTTTTTGTTATTCTGGTTATTTGTTCTGATTAAAAATGCATGTACTTTGACTCTGACCCATTCAGACCGCACTGAAATTCAATCCTGCGATTTGCGCGAGCGTACAACTATGTATGTGTTTATGCTTCACTATGGTGGAAATGTCGATTTTTATACGAATATAAATTTGAGATCGATTGAATCGTCGTATTTTATGAATGTTTTTTTTTCTTCTTCGTTGAGGTTGAGGTGTACAAGAGAAAAATAAAAATTCTGTTTACAAAATTTAAATCGAACCACTTTTGAAATGGGTTTCTTCGATTTTTATCAGAACGCCGAACACATATATGTAAATGTTTAATGTACGAACGAATAACGATGAGATAAAATGTTCTTCTCTTATTCGACGTATGATGAATATGCAAATGTTATTATATTTTTCCCTCTATTTTGAGCGCATTTATAAATCGTGGTTGTGGTTATTTTTTTAACGGTCGATGATACACATATTTCATTTTCATATCATCTAAGCTGTAGCACTTCAATATCTGTTTCAGGTGCTGTTCACCGCCTCCGCTGCTCCTGTTGCTGCTGCTTTGTAAACGTTGATTGTTCCTGCAACAAAACCACAGAAAAAAGCAAACAAATGAATTTTCAAAAAGAAAAGAAATTAACTACGTGAATACTTTTGATCTTAGCATAAACATTTAATCGAGACAAAAAATACTCAAACGGACGGATTTTTCGAAGACCAAAGATATAAAAATAAATCAACACCTGCTCGAATCTTATGTACACAATCACATGAATCTTCATTATTGTCCCCTCTATTTCAATAGTAAATGCGTGTATGAAAAGAGTGAGTGAATGTGTGACAAGTAAGTGTTGCCCAACCGACCACACTATAATTCGATTCAGGTAATCATTTTTCGAAGGGTAATTATAATCAATGAAGATGGCCACTTTGGTGAACGCAACACATAGAAAAATGTGTGCCAATCTAATTAGGCGAGCATAATGTGCGTTTGAAACGGTTAATTCACAATATATCTCGGCCCGAACAAAAGGGATCTTTTCGATCAACCGCTTCCATACACACTTATATTCACCTGAGCGGCACAGCAGCAGCCATAATATAAAAAAAACCTCATTATTGAGAAAGCCTTTGTTCGACAACATAAGCGGCGAACGACTGTGCCTAAACACATCCATTCATGCTTTGAAGACTTTTTAATTGAATGAATATTTTAATAAGCAATTTATGCGAGCGCTCGTTTGCAATTGCTGCGAATACAATCACGCACACACATTTTTTTCGCCCAACGGAATATTACCCAAAATGAAATTTGGTCGCATTTTTTCTTCTTATTTTTTTTTCGTTTTGATTCAAACCAACCATTTGAATCGTCTTATGTTCGCATCGTCACTTCAATATCGTTGTTGATTTTTCTTTTTTTTTCTCTTGACAAAATCCAGCGGGAGTTCCTATAGATTTAGCATGACAAAACATGTTTTTTTTTTCACGGTGTGCCGCCCCAAAATGGAGTCTAGCCGCTAACTCACGACACCATCCATATAAATTACCTAGGTATGTATATATCCACATGAATAAAAAAAATTCATGTTGGAAATGCAAATCCATTCTAGATTCTTATTTCACCATATCTTATCCAATCGAGAAATTCTTTTAAAGTAGATTTAAAAACTTTTCTTGCAAAATTTTCCTTCTTTTTTTTCCCCGCTGCTCGTTTCGATTCTCAACGCAATAAATTATTAAGCAATCGATTAAAAGACGTGATATGGAGATTGAAGATGTAAAAGATTGAAGTAGCGCAATGATTGACGATTCGATCTAAATTCCCCAACGACAATTGACGAAAATGTTTTGCGAGCGAGAAAGAGCAAAGGCACGAGATGATTAAAAAAAAAAACAACAACGAATCGTGACACATATTTTCCACGGTCTCTAGTTTTCTATTTATTGGCAAAATCTCTGACTCACCAGCCGAATAAACACTATAAACATATCGTTTAACAAAATAAAAATCTCAATTTCATGAACTCAACCAATTCTCGTGTTTCGACATGGTGTTGGGGCTGGAGTGTGTGTATTATATGGTACACGGTGCACATAAATTAAATAGATCTGATGAGCATTTTATGAAATTTTTGCCAATCGATTGGTTTTATTGGCAATGAGTTTTTTTTTTCATCTCCTTTGCACACCACACTGCATGCTTATACATATTTTGTGTGTTTGGTTTTTTTTTTTCGTTGGTTCGATACACTTGACTATATCTATCTTTCCAGCATTATTCATTATATGAATGTTGAAATGATATTGTGCGCCCTTTTCCCTTTGACGTACGCGATCCGCACGTTTTGTGGATGCGACGAGTGAAACAAGACAACAACAAATGCTTTAAAGCAAGTGAGATCGAATATGAGCGTGGCATCGTGCAGAAAATCGAGCGCATTTTTTTTTCTTCGTCGATTTGTTGTAGAGCGTAAAATTTTTCATATTACACGCCATTAGATTACAATAACGTGCAAAGAATATTGTGTACGGTTTTTTTTTATTTTTTTATTTTTTGGACTTGAAGAATTGTTGCTGATGTGAACTGAAATTTATTTTTCTTCAGTATTCTGTATGTTTATATGCCGAAAAGGCTGCCGTCGGTATTGTATCTATTTACGCAATTTTCGTGTTTCTCGATTTTCTCATTCCTCTCTCACTTTCCCGATTTTAATACGATGTAAACATACACACAATATAATTTCCATTATACACGATTTTTTTTATTTCTTTCGGTATAATGAAAAAGGCATTATTTCACGATGTGAACCCATCTGAAAAGCATATTTTTATACACTGTACACCACGAATATATATGTATATAAATGTGTGTGTGTGTGTGTGTGTGTGTGTGATTTGATTCGCAAAAGAGTGAATCGGTAAGTGTCGATTACGGATAATTTTCAATACATTTTATTTATATTTTGCCGCCTTTCGTTTCGTGTGTGAGTTTGTGTTACACACCTTCAAATGAATTGTGCCGAAGGTAGATTTGTATAGATTTGTGAAAGTCGTAATTCTTGCGAGCTCGAAACTCGAACAACAGAAAGAGTGCAAAACAAAAGGTATTTAGTAAAAGAGAGGAAAGAATGAAAGGAAAAAAAAACTCGTGTGCCAGACGGAGAATGAGTTTATACCACGAATATATATCCATCCTGAAAATTAGTAATAATAGTAACACAATGTAGTGCTCGCGCGCGATCCATGCAATAATCAACATAATGATAATAAGCATACACACACAAACAGACGAAAAAAGAGAGAAAATGTGCGCCATTATTATTATTACTCTTATTCAGCTTTTTTTGTGTGTTGCGTATTTGCTTGTTATTTTTGTTGTGTACAATTTTTTTTTCTTCTCTCTTTTGGTTGGATGAAATGAAAGATTTTTTTTTCACTATTTAAGGTGTATCGTTAAACATGTGTTTGTACCGGGTACAAAAATAACCCCATAAAATATCCTAGTATGTGACGATATGCCGAATACACCAAATTCACCGAATACCGAATGCAGAGTCACTGCATGTGAGTGTATGTGATTGTACGCTTCATTACTTTGCACATATATTACAAAAAGCAGCATTCATTTAGGTTTTTAGGAGGTAAATGGGAATAATGTAGACAAAAAAAACTCCGCATACACACATTAAACAAACGTTAAACTGAAAGAGAAGAACGAGATGAAAAAAAAAACGTAACACAAAAAGAAATAGTAGTTCATCGTATTGGTGGTAGTAGTAGTAATAGACACAAAGAGAGAAAAAGAGAATTCATTGCACAGATGAAGAAGCATAAGAAGTAGAAAAATATGTTGTAACTGTTGTCGCACTGGTACTGGATGCTTTTTGAGCACATTGTGTGACTGCGACGACGAAGATTTATACGTAGCACACTGTTGGCTCTTTCGATATGCTCTAAAATGCATGATTCGTATTTACATGTTGTTTGTATGCCTATTGTTCATCAAAGGCGAGGAAAAACACTGGAGTGCGATCAGTGTTTCATATTATATTCGGATATTCATACAGAAGCGTGTTTTGTTAAGCACAAAACAGCATGGGTTTTCCTCTCACTCTCCTATAAATACACACTTAAACACACACACACTTGGTGTGTGTGTGTGTGTGTGTGTGTGTGTGTGCACGGGGCTTTATGCTATGCATGTATAATGTCATGCTTAACGAATATGTCACAGTTCATAGAACACAAACCTTAATTATATTAAATTTAAATCAATATTTTTATTCTGGTGTGAAATATATTCTGTCGTGTGTTGTTATTGTATTATTTTTTCTTCTCTTCTTCTTCTTCATTTCTCTTTGTAATTTCATTTTGCGTTTCGTTTTTTTGCCGTTTTGCTTACATATTTTAGCCTCATATAGTCCTGGTTTATTTGCAGCGATATAGAATACGCTTGAAAGACATTATACCGATTATTATATTATATTTTTCATATAAAATGCGACATTCATGAGGTGAGTTTTGAGTGGAGGCTTAAACACACTCTCTTGTTCCCAACAATTTCGCGCGATTTAAACCGTTGGTGGTGGGTGCTATTATTGCTGCTCGACTGGCTATTTGTGTGTGCTCAATGTTCATCGTTGTGCTGTCGCCAGTTGTACGATAAGGATTTTCATGAAAATTTCATAGTCAATGCATGGAAAATCGAACGCCCAACTTACTTATTCACTTACTCTCTCCCTTTCCCTCTCCCTCCTTCTCTCTCTCTCTCTCTCTCTATCTAGCATTCGCGCTCTTGCCTTTTTGAGCCTTGTCTTCGAGGCGAAGAGAAATAAGGAAAGTATAAAAAATAGCAGCATAGAACCGTCGAATTAACACTGTTATCGACAGCAAAGCAGAAAAGAAAGCAAAAGCAAACCCCATCAAACCAGATGCAAATGAGTGAACGCAAAGTGCTTACATTGCTCGCAGGTATATCTATCGTATTGCGATATATAAATATATGCAGAGAGTGGTGTGTGTGTGTGTATACATTTCGATGGTTTATTAAATTGAATGGTGTGTGTACATTGGCGGCAACTAGATGCAACGCATTAACCATACTATGAGCAACGGGCCAATAACTCTAACACCATACAGCTCCTGAACCACTATCACAGACACACATTTAAAGAGCAACGGAGATCGAGAGTGAGAGAAAGAGGTAGTGGCAGGGAGAAGGAGATATATAGAGTGAAAGAGATCAAAATGAAACGATGATACAGCCACAGGCTAAATAATAACCAAAACTATATCACTCGATAAATGGCTCAATGCTTGAGTGCTTTGAGTGCTTAAATGTTTGCATTTGTCTCACTCTCTTTGGTACAATAAAAGCCGACACAATCTTACATCAGAGTCTCGATCTGTATCAATGGCCGGATAGATGGATGAATGGCTAGATAGACGAATGGACGTACCGGGCCTGAATGGATCGAGATGTGAATGTGAATTTTTATTATTTGATGATATGAGCGGCATCGAAATGGAACTCAATCAAACTGTTTCTATTTTTAATACATATACCATCTAAAATGGGCTCTTATGAATGCATAACAACTAGATGGCGAACGTTTGAAGAGCCACCAGCATTCCAGCTAACCAATTCATCATGATTCATGAACCAGTGCAAAATTGTGCTGTGCAGTGTATGTGCTTCTGAATATGATACACACAGAGAGAGATACGAAACCATCGTTATACCAACAGCCTAATGCCATACCGAATGTCATAAAATAAAATACAAAGAGCCCAGTTGAATAATAATAATCGTAATAATAACAGCAATGGAAATAACAACAAAAACAACGACAACGATAGCGGTGTAAGTAGCAGCAGCCGCATATAAACAGCACGACAGAAAAAAAAAACAGTGAACGTAATTAAAAATAAGAGCTCAACATATATATTTATGGCGAAATAAACACTATGATTTAACGAATGTAAGACATTAATAGATTTTGTATGTCAACTTGAATTCAAGCTACGTATTGTCGTGTATTTACGTATGAAATATCCATTTAAATACACGTTCAGGTTCACACCTGACTTGAGATGCTATGATTATAAACAAGTAACCGACAAACTCTTATGGTATTTCTCTCTTTCTTTGCTACTATGTGTGTATGAGTGTGTGTACGCCGTTGTTTGATTTTAATGCTCTGCATTCTCTCGCTCGCTCTCTCTTTCTCATTATCACATCGCAAAATGCAAGCAGCTTGCGTGTTATGATTAATAAAAGAGAAAGAGAGCGAGCGAGAGAGAGAGAGATGCGAGTGTGTGAGAGAGGGTAAGTATGGTAAAGAACATCGATTTACAGGAGTCGAAAACACGAGAATGTGATATATATAATGTTGCGCGCGGTCTCGCTGTGTTTGCTTAAGTAAACAAACTACCAATAGCACGCAAATATTTACACATATATTTATATTTATACATTGAGAATGAGAAAGGGCGAGCAATCGTCGGCAAGCGATATGTGTGTGAGAGCAAAAGACAGAGTTCAAATGGTATTGCATTCGGGATTTTGCGGAAAACGCAAAATTCACAAATTCAAATACGAGAGAAATAATGGGGATAGAGCGAATTCAAACTATTGAGCCATCGTCTGGAGGGTTTTATTGCTGTAAACTGAGCAATTTGGAATCAACATTTGTCTACTGTCTCTACCATTGCAATAACATTCAAATTTTACCCAATACTCGTGTACAAATACAAACAAACATAATGTATGAAGCTTTTCATTCAAATGACACCTTAATCACACACAATAAACCAAATATTTCGTCACCCGAAAAATGGAAAATCGTTAATGTTTGTTGTTATCACTTGTGATGGTCGATTGTAATGATTGGATGGCTGTTCCATCGTTGAATAAAAAGACATCAGAAAAACAAGAGTTCAAAATGGATGGTCGGTAGGGTATTTTAAGAGTTTTTTTTTTGGCTGTATCTGGCCAACCAATATGTATACATATAAATATATTCAACCCATGTTAATCGTGAATGGATTTCCAAATTGGATTCAAAATGTACGTAAAAAGGTGCTTCGTCATATTCGACACTGCATTGCAAAGTTCCCCACAACACATCGTAAGCTCATCACCGCCGCCCCAAACACTTACTCGTTAAAACACAAAATCCATTATCATCACATATATTGGAGCATTCGTTCGAGTCTCTTTTGCTCTTGCACTACACTCAAACGTTTACAAACGGTATGCATATACATACGAGAGAGAGAGAGAGAGAGACACACACATGTGCATACATACACACCTTTTGAGTGGCTGATTTTCAGCAATTTAGTGATTGATTTTGCGCTCAATGAGAATGTGAGCGAGAAAATGCGACGATAGAGGTGATGGCAACGATGACGACAAGAACCGTTCGACCACCGTCAACAAATCCTATATGCAATTGGCCATAAGTGTCAATGTGTATCTGTGGCGGACAAATACTTCACATTCCACTATTTTCATCAATAACACAATTATGGATATTCAATTGGATGATGGACTTAATTAAAAATGCGATTAACGATATATCAACGAGCCGTTGTACGACCAATTGATCTGATTGTGAGTGAAACGAAGCAAAGCGGATGGCAAACGTAAATTGATGTATGAATGTGTATTGTTTAACGTTTGTTGGAAATAACGACGGCGACGACGATGACGACGGAGGGCGAACAATTGACGGAGGGGACGAAAAAGAGAAAAACAATTATGTATGAACATTTTTGATTGTTTACCGGGATCGATTTGGAATAGAGCAATTTACTTAACTTAGAACTTATAAATATAGTGAATTGAATTTGATGGGTTGAAATGGTTGGGCTAAAAGAGTTCATTTGTCACATGCACGCCAATTGTTGTCGACATCGTCGTCAAGTATGCACTTGCACATCGTATACACCAAAAAATTGCGCTCATAATTGAAGCATTTTATGTTCCATATATATTTATTCTTAAGGTCTCTCGGTTCGTTTAATATCGCCGATATAATATTGTGGCGATTGCATGTGCGGCATATGCTTGTTTCGTCTTGTTGCTAAAATTACAGAGAGAAGAAAATGAAAAAGGAAACAACAAGAAGAAGAAGTTGAAAAATAACAACAAATGAACTGTTCAATTTCCGCTCTGTGCCATTCGGAATCTGTATTTAGAAGCAAAAAAAGGAAAACATGAAAATCGTCACACAATCGGCGCGATGCTACATTACAATTTTTGAATGGCACTCGCTATTTCATATTCGACGCATTGCACGATGGTAAACGCACCAACCCAACTAACCAACAAGCCAAACAACTCAACACACGCACTTGTGTGTGACTGAATGCATTAATTTTTATTCAAATGCATTTTTATAAAAATAAATTGGTGTATGTTGTACACATATAAGTGTGTTGTATGTTGGCTGTACCATGGTGGCAAATGGCAAATGGCAAACTCAACTTTTCGTTTGACTTTTCAATTGATGGCTTGTTTCGTTTTGTGCGGTCTTATTGTTGTTTGCTGTTGTTATTTATGTTGTTGTTGCTGTTGGTATTTATTTTTCGCGTTTGCCTAATTTTAGTCATTTTGGCTTGGCTTGAGGCTTGGCACCGCGGCTTCGAAATGATTAGCACGTTTCGGCGTTTGCATTTGCTGTTTTATCCACTCAAATGGCTGTTGTTACATTTATTTTTTATTTTTCATTTCGGTTTGGTGTGTATGTTGGTTGTTTAACGACATTCGTTTTGTTCATCCACGAATTACTTTTTCCCCTTCTGATAATCCGATTAAAAATTAATAGCCAAGCAAAGCATGCCATCTGATTTGGATTAGGCGTTTCTCAATGAACCAAACAAGAAATTTCATGTTTTTGATCGCTAACTAATGAATGTCGTCGACGGTATAATTACTTGAATTTTTTCTCTTTCTCTCAATAAGTAAGTGTTTGTGTGTGTGTGTGTTTTTTTTTGTCGTCTATTTTTTTTCGGCCATAATTTTTGGACTTAAAATAAAACAAGACAGAAGGGAAAAAATTGAAAACGAAAAGAAAAAAATATATATTAAAACGAGAGACATGTTATGACCGAGTTGAATACCAGAACGAAATGGTGAATGTACACAGTAATGATGGGGCAAACAAGCGAACAGTAATTTAAATTTTTCAAAATTACGCCATGCGTATGTCATGAATTCAATTCAAATGTAATTGCTGCCATTTTTTCATCTTATAATTTTAACGTCGCGTTTCATCTTATATTTATTGTCTATATGTATGTGTATCTCGTCTATTTTCGGCAGCCTTTTGTTTACAATTTAGATTTTTCCCACTGTCGATTGCTCAATGGTTGTTACGGCTGCTGCTGCTGCTTCTGTTGCTCTTTCTATTGCTGCGACTGTTGCTGTGCGTGAGCATTGTATGTTTATGAATCGGGGGCTACCGATCTTGTATCTTTTAGTCGCACAATGTCATTTACTCTATTTGGGTAAGGCTTTAACCAAAGTTGAAAAAGGCGAAGGCGAAGGGAAAAATTTGTCATTTAAAATGTATGTCGTCCCTTTCGTATTCCTTGTCACATTCGCCTTTTTATGAATATTTATCACTTAAAATCAATTTTCATTTTCCCTGTGACTATTATGAATATTTTGTCTACTATGCTTACTCACTGGTTATGTGTTTTACTTGCATCGAATATACATTATACATACAGTCATCATCATGCACACAACATAAATCGAAACTCATTCACACCGTCTCTATCTCTAGAATAAATCTCTCTCTTCCTCATACGGCAACGTATGTATGGTTTTTTACTTTTTGCTCAAAATGATATGAACAAACTTTTTCTCAATTTTATAAATGACAATGAGAAATTCATGCCGAAAGAGGTAGACAGAGAAAGAGAGAGAGAGTGTGTGTGTGTAAATAATTGAAAATGCTGAAAGACAAAAACGCAAAACGCATTAACTTAATAAAATTATGACACTCACTCTATGTTGTTGTGATGAAGATTATTTTTTGATTCTTTCCTCTTTTATCGCGTTATTCATCTTTATGCATAATAATTATGGTATGTATGTGATACGCAGCTCTCTATCTCGGTTTTTCGTTCTTTCTCAAATCACCGTCTATTTTGTTGTAGCTCACTATTTCTTCTTTGGATTGCGAAATTGAACCGCAAATCAGAAAAAATTTATCAAGATCTTGTGGGTTCTGTTCAGATCTGTTTTTGTTTCGAAATATCAACTTCACTTGGTCGGTTATATTTCGTTATATTATTGTTGTTGTTGTTATTTTGCTTGGACTTTTGTGTGGTGTAAGTTATTTTTTTCCCTTTTTTTCCGACGTGAAAATAATATCACACACTTACACCAAAAATTATTATTATTTTTTTTTTATCTCGAAATCATTTGCTCGGGCATTTGCACTGTATTATAATATTTTCCTCGTTTCGATTTGATTGTCGATTTTTGGATGAAGTTTATTCTCCCTTTTGATTATGTTCATTTCAATTTTTCGAATGCACTGAAAACATTTTTCAATTCATGTAAAAATTTCACATCCTGAAATCGTTCGATTTTTGATTTCGAAAAACTAAAACATTTTTATTTCATTGCTTCCACAAGAGCCAAACAAATTTAATCAATTGCTTCGTTTCATTTTTGTCTCTCTCTCTCTTCCTCTTTTGTTCGTTTCTCGAAAATATTTCATTCAATTAGTTTTGTCGATGGCCGTTGTTTACTCTCTCGCATCTTATATAGATATTCACATTTTCGGTCTCATAAAATTCACTTTAAAACTCGCACACTATTTGCTTTTTCATTCACAAGAGCAAACTATTCTTTTACTTGTTTGAGCTAAAAAAAGACGGTCGAATTTGTCCGAAATTCGTACAAATGTAAAACATAAAAAAATGATTTTCATTTGTTACACGGTAAAATACACGAAACTCGCGACACACAAAAATATAGATTGCATTTAGTTTTTATTCCCGTGGATTTCTACCACAAATAAACACGATACAAAGCACCAAACATTCTCTTTACATGCGACACGAACCGTACAAGAGGAACAAAAAACAATTTTTTTTTGAAAAATGTAGAAGGTAAAAAAGATGAAAGAGCCAGCGCGAAAGCGAAAGAGCGTTCATGTATGGAGAGATATTACACATATAAGAGTCAATGTGTACATGTAGATTTTTATGTTTCTGTTGTCGTCGTTGTCTCAAACAATACACACGCATACAATTTGGTATACACACACACACACCGAGAGAAAGCAGTGAAACACATTGAATGGTGCCAGTGAGTTAAGTTCAAACACGGAATTAAACTGAGAATGGTTTACAGAGGCACAGCATAAAACCATTCGAAACATGCACGCACACACATCACTGCACACACTATTACATCAGCACACATGAACACGATGCCAAATAAAAATCGAATCGGTTTTTGTTGTTGTATTTAACTTCCAAATTCTTCATTCATACAGAAAATATGGCGAATACCGTTCGCTTCGGTTTTGTTATTGTCATTACTAGTCGTCGTTATAACATTTCACCTCACATATCGCATACATGCACAGCGAAACACACGCACACGAATACAATAAAAAAAAACAGAAGACCAAAGAATTGGTTCGAAAACGACCCAAAAATATTTTGTACGTGTGCACACAAAGGCACAATACAATTCTCCCTCACTCACAAAACACGATGCCATATACATACACATACGCACCGTTACGCACACATCGATGCATACACAGACATAACGTTGTTGTACGGCGCGTTCTTTGCATCGGCAATAGGATGCTTGAAATCGGTTTCAAATATGTGTATGTACAATATGCAACGTATGACAGCAAATTGTGTGCTTAGGAGATTGTTTTTTATGGAAAAAGGAATTGAATATCGCCAAACAGATGAGACTTTGTCTGAAAGAAATGACTCATGATTTCCATCATCATCATCGTCATCATCATCGTCGCTACGAATTTTAGATAAAATCACCTCTACAATTTTATTCGCTCCGATTTTGTGTGAATCATTCAAAAAATCATATTTTAATTAAACAACCGATCAAATGCAAGACAATCCTTTTGAATCGGCGAGATTGGTTTTGGAACAAATCTGAAGATAAAAATAAAATGCATGTGCCAAAAATATGTGGCGGTGAATGATGGAGATGACGATGCCTTTTCTGACGGTGTATATAGATGTGTATGTATTTGTATGTGCATGTTCTTGCATGCAAGCCTGTGTGTCCACATTAAAGAGCGTATTTGTATGCGTGTGCGTTTATGTTGTTGGTGTGAATTCTCTCCAGTGTGCCTTGTACTGCAAGTAATTGGTATTTATCGGACGGAATGACGAATTTGAAAGAAAATCGGTAGAAATGGGAACGACAAAAGGAAAAATCAACAATTTTGATTTTTTTTTTTATTTTTCGTTCGTCTTTCGTTAAATCGTTTACGTTTGCCACTTGCATTTGTACTTGTGGATCACACGGCAATACACTCAGGCCCTTAGATGAGAGTATGAATGTGCATGCACGTACATATAGATGATGAGAACGTGAACGGTACGTTCGTTTGAAAGAGAGAAAGACGATAGGTATTTTCCGTAGAAGTGGTTTCCACTTGAAATGTTCAAACGTTACATTTCATATAGATCTCGGTACGGCTATACACATATATGTGTATATATAATGTATATATCCCGATTAATTTATGAATGTTGGGTTTCCTTTACGCCATTTTCTTATTCTCTTCGGCCAAACTCAAATATATCTTATTAATTGCATGCGATAGCATGCATTATACTTCATATACCATTCATTCGGAAAGCGATTCCGTGCATCGATATTATACTTGAATTGCTCATTGTTCATTTCAACGTTCGCCGATCTATAGGTTCTGGTTCTGGTTGTTGTTGTTTCTCTTCAAATTATTTTTTTTTTTATCGCAATGGAACCGAACCGAAGAAGAGAGTGAATATGAAAAAAAGAACAAGAGAAAAGAGCAGAGCAGAAGAAAACCACACGATGAGAGCGAACAGCAACGTTATACGCGACATATACAAAGGCTCCACTTAATGGATTTGGAAATATTTGTCGGATTTATCATGTATTTTTTAAACCGCAGAGTGTATAAATGATATGATGTTTGGTTCATCGCAAACGATGGTCATTTTGTTGCACTATCAAATATGAAATGGTGCAAGTCATTTGCCTCCCCGCGTTTTAAACGTGAACAATTTGTTCGTATTCAATATGATATGACATACCTTCCTCATGTTCTATTCAGTTCTATTCCGTATCCCTTGCTCATTGCGTTTTTTTTTCGCCGCTCGTATTTTTCGAAACTTTTTGATTAAATTTGGATAAATTAAATTTTTCATGCTCAATTTACTATAGCTGTGTGCCTGGATGAGCACACAATTCTCGTTAAGCCATAAGCATTTCATTTGCACCATTACAAAATATTTTTCATATTTATTTATTTTTTGTTGTCGTCTTCCATTTCGGCCAGAGTGTGCAATTGGAGCCGCTGTTTTCCATCGTCGTCATCACGATGTGGCGGCAGCAGTGACGGTTACGGTGGAGAGTGAAAGAGACTGACCTGAGAGCTGTTATACTGTCATTTAAATGTTGCGGCTATCGGTGTATGATAATGGAATATTTACGACAAAATGAAATGTCTATAATGTAGTTTGAGTTTTGATATGCGTTAAGTTTATTGACGCATTAATAACAAGGCACAACAATAATATACATACACAAACAGTGAAATGGCCCCGAGCGGATCGCGCGCTTTTTTTGTGTGTCTCTTCTAAATGAAATGTAATAAAAATCGCTTTGGCTAGATTTTTTAACGACTGTGATAGCACTTGTGTATGCGATGCCAATGCATATTAAATCATTTTTTTTTTGGTTTTGTTTTGATTCTCGGATTTTGTTTCTTTTAGTCTTTCTCCTGTTTGCATTGCGCACATTTTTTCCGCTATTGCCGAACTGTGTGTGTTGTGATGACCGAAGTGTATTCAACAACACAGTTCATATCACTTGATTAGACGACAAAAGGCACTGCGATGATTCATTCACATCTCATCGCCGATACACACATATTACATATGTATCGAAGTCACTTATTCCATTAATGGAACCAAGCTTTTTTCAAACTAGAATGTACGTCATTTTATTCACTCTAATTTTATTTTTATTTGACTATGCGTGGCACACACTTGACGAGTGTTTAAGTTTTTTAAACGGGAGACATAGAAAGGTAAACAGAAAAATCCATTTATGTTCGGAGGTATTTGGGGAATATTGATTACAACTGAATTTCAATATTTCAGTGGATTTCATGGTATTGTTATCAATAGATGACGTTAAATCGAAGCTGATCTTTTGCCACTTACTGCACACAAGAAAAGAGATGCATCGCACATTTGCTTTTAAAATGACCGATTAATCAGAATCAAATCACAGAAGGTGATTAGTATTCGGGGCTCTTTTTTAGTGTTTTATATAAAAAGGTTTTTCAAAATTCCATGGGAATTTTTATTCATCAAACACATTTACGATGTGTTCATTTTAAAAATAAAAATCGATGAAAAGAATGGATGAATTCAGTATGAGATTTTAAATCAAAATTCAATAACCAAAACAAAAATGTGTTTTAATTTAAATTCATTTTTGGCGCGTTCAATGAAATGCTCATAAACGAACGCACCCAAGCGAACGCACCCCAAGTTGATGTATGAAATGTCAAAGCGAAAACTGTCAGATTTTTTGCGCCAACTACGATTATGTTTATTGATGATTTATTTTTACAGAACTCATGATGAATTCGGATGATACGTTTCTGTGCACATGAATAATAAATTTAGTATGAACATAAACCATTTTCGTAACATTTAGTTCATCAAATATGAGTAAAATATAGCTATAATAAATTTATTAATCACATGGCATTAGTTTTATTCTACTGGAGGAACAGGTTGATTTTGAAAATTTTTCATGAAACTCAAGGTAATGTAATTGAAATCGACTCATAATTTAATCAACTGAAAATTTCATGAAATTTTTTAGAAAATCATATTCTTCAATTCTTATAAAAGGAATAAAAAATAATATCAGACATGCATAGCTAAGCATAAGTTTTTTTAGATTTTTACCAAAAATTGGATTATGATTTCGTGTAGAAAATTGATAATAAAAGCACAAATTTTTATGTTGAGATCCTTTTTCCAGCTGATACCGCATCATCACGTATATTGGAGTTATGAGAGTTACCTTTGTTTTAGATTCATGTAATATTTATTAATCAATTTCATCGTCATGAAAGCAAATATCGAATAGAAAAATGAAAACGTAATCTAGCGACCTAGTCTGTTCAATAAAAAAATGAAAATCTTATAGGATCAATCTTTTTTTCACCTTTTAATAAAATAAATACTGCAAAAATGATTATAATGTTGAAGATTTTATTTGTTGTTTACAACTTTTATCAAACGGTCAATCAATATTGAAATAAATTGAGACATTAAAATAAACTTTCAACGCATGCAGTTTGAAATCCTTTTGACACCAAATCCAATTGTGTGCACCAGGGTAAATCCGAATATTTTTTCAAAAGTTCAAGACATGTTCGCTTTCGAGACACACATTTTGCAAGGTCTGGATATCCGAATTTTTCCTTCCACAGATCAGCCTGTATATTTTGAAAATCAGGATCCGACTGAACTTTTTCCGATGAAATGGGCCAATTCGTATTTCGACATTTTTCACATTTGCATTGAAAACCGAAATCATTCCACAGATTTTGTTGACGCTCATGCAGTGGATGTGGATCCCAATATGTATCTCCATACGATATGAACAATTGATCCCCTTTTTTGATGCGGCGTGACGAAATGCAAATACTTTTATTTTGAAAGGCGCTACACAATATATTGGGTGCGCATGAATGGTTTAAATGATTTCGAATCAAAAATATGCCGCCATACATTTCGGTATGGAATGAGTTGCAGCGAACGAGATTGACATGCATTATGCACAAATGCATTAGAAATCGCATCTTCTTGAGTGTATCAAAGGAGTCTTTGATATCTTGTATCCTCATCAGCATGTCAAATACTTCATTGGCACGATCAACGTGATCTTTTTTATTTTCTTCGGTCATCCATAGATTGAGTTTTAAAAACATGCGGTACTTTGATTTGTCGTCAACAATTGAAAGGGGCACTTCTTCCACGTTCTTTTCTTTGACGACGTTTTCAACGAATTCCATCCATTCCTCAATTGAGCACATAATTTCACCAGCACGTAAAATTGAGTTCAATACAAATTCCACCAAAATGTTGTCCGATGTGCTACGTCTTCCACATCTCAATGTATGAAATAAATCATTTGCACAATCTTCGCTACAAAACAATGCACTTGTGCAATTTGGACAGGGAATGAAATTGGTCATATTTTTAAAGCACGAATCGCAAATTCCAAAATCTTGTTTAAATATTGTGGTTTTGACAAATGGTTCTTCAACCAAAACTGTTTTTCCAACATCAATATCACACTTTGCAATGAAATGACGGCCAAATTTCTTGCTGTACTTCATTTGTAAAACGTTCGCCATTCCAGGAAAGTGTTCGTCAGCTTCAAAGTCCAATTTTTGTGTTTCATTCGGTAAAAAAGACGTCTTATTCGTGTGCTTTAAGCAGTATGCACGACGGTCTTCCAACTTTGACATGAGCCGTTCTGGATATTTTGCATTGATCGCCATTTCAATATCGATGAGACATTTATCATACATTTCCATCTTGAGAAAGCACAACGATCGGTTTGCATATGCCAAAGTTACGTTTTCGGTATCTTCTTCAGCAAAGCAAAGACTTCGGTTGTACAATAGCATTGCATCATGCCAATTTTTTTCATTTACTTTTGTATTTCCAGCTTGTCGACATTTCATTGAAACTTCATTTTGTTTCTTGTTTTGTGTAACACCCAACGCGATACAGAATTGATTATGTGATATTCCGGGCAACATCTAAGTTTAAAGCGACAATAATTGTAAATTGCTTATAAATTTATTTGCCTAAATGGACAAAATCTCCCATCAAGAGAAATATTCGTTTATCCTATATAAATGGGTTATTAGGAAAATGGGTCTTTTTGCATTATGTACAACGGTATCGCAAACGACCCTATTTTCCTAATAATCCATTCATATATTCATATGAATAAGATGAATTTTTCACTGGTGCAAAATCCGGCAAATACCTCAACTCTGTTGATATTCGCAAAAATATCTTTATATAATCCAGATGCATCCTTCTTCCATAATGAGTCCATGTTTGATGTTGATCGAATGACGCTTTTCACTATTTGAAAAAAATAGTTTGTTTTTATCTCTTTGCTTTACTTTTGATGCAATAAAAAATGATAAAATTCTTTACTGAATTCTTAAATTGCAATTGCGACGCGTTCAATTATCCTCACAATTAAGACGATGACGCATGAGTCATTCGATTTTGAATCGGTCTGAAATGTCAAAGCGAAAACTGTCAGATAATTTGCGCCAACTACGAGCATGTTCATTGTTCATTTATGCTAATATACAGAACTCATGATGAATTTGCAATGATAGGATATACACGAAAGGTTTCTGTGCATATGAATAATAATTATTTAAATTTAGTATTAAAACAACATCTTTTGATTAATGAACAAAAACCATTTTTGAAACATTTAGCTTACCAAAATATTGCTATAATAAATTTATTAATCACATGGCATTAGTTTTATTATACTGGAGGATCAGGTTGATTTTGAAAAAATTTCATGAAACTCAAGGTAATTGAAATCGACTCATAATTTAATCAAATGAAAATTTCATGAAATCTTGTAGAAAATCATATTCTCATAAAAGGAATGCTTTCTGAAAATTTTACCATAATCTAGAAAACATTGGATAAAAAATAATATCACACATGCATAGCTAAGCATAAGTTTATTAGATTTTTACCAAAAGTTTTATTTTTGCCAAAAAGTGGATTATGATTTCGTGTAGAAAATTGATAATAAAAGCACAAATTTTTATGTTGAGATCCTTTTTCCAGCTGATCCCGCATCATCACGTATATTGGAGTTATGACAGTTACCTTTGTTCTAGATTCATGCAATATTTATTGATCAATTTCATCGCCATGAAAGCAAATATCGAATAGAAAAATGAAAGCGTAATCTAGCGACCTAGTTTGTTAAATAAAAAAAATGAAAATCTTATACGAATCTGTAAGGATGAGGCGCCTATGTTATTTATATTGTAGGTTATGTTTGTTTCAATTCTGATTCTTCTTCTGTACAATCCCATGAAATCAATCTCTTTTTTTCACCTTTTAATAAAATAAATACTGCAAATCTGAATTTTAATGTTGTAGATTTTATTTGTTCCTTAAAACTTTTGTCAAGCGGTCAATATTGAAATTATTTTAAAAAAATATGTTCATCAGCATTCATTTCAATTGAAATTGTTCGTTAAATATATATAGATAAAATAATTTTGTTCGAGATTCAGTCAACGGATCAGGCAGATGTGCCTTATTAGCAAAATCAATTGACCAGCATCGAATAGATTAAGATTAGTTCATATTAATTCTAAAACTTTCAGTTCAATTTCAAAAGTTTTCTTATGGTTGAATGAAATGTTGTGCGATATTTTGCATACATTTATTGAATATTTGAAGCATATGCAAAGTTTTATAAAAATAAAATTTGAACGTATTTTTTTTTGCCCAGAGTCTGCATATTTTCTGTTAAGGACTTTTTCTAACTTTTAACGATTTCGAATACTAAAATCTGTATGATAAGTTTGTTTCTAAGTGTGATTTTTTGTTTCAATATATAGAGTGTGGCCATATAATGACTATACACAAACTTATAGTATAAAGATTTAAATATTTTCAATCGTAAAAGCGTAATTTAATCAAAAATGTGCAGTCACTGGTAATGCCTCTTGTGAAAAAAAATTCATTTATTTTTATTTTCCGAATGGCCAATGGCTTCGCTTTGAACTAGAAATGCTTATCATCGATGACACACTGCCACTAATCGCTGTATTAATGCTAGACGACGAATTGGCACGACTACGGAAGTTTCTAAGTTTTGGTGACTCCGCTTTGTCTCCTTTATCGTTTGTGACACTTGAATAGAGTGAATTCGATTCTCGTGAATCTGAAAGGATGTTTACAATAAACATTGATACTCATATAAAATGCAATTAACTTTCGTAAAACTTACGTAAAATTGGTACTTGATCGTATAACGATCCATGGCGTCCCGACCGTGAAAAGTAGTTTCTTTCTGTTCCGGGTGTTGTTAGCTGCATTGGTGTACTAAGCATAACATGTTTCCATTGTAAGTGTTCTCTGATGGCCCGTTTGAGTCCAATTTCCCAATTCGATGCTTCCATCGGTTCTGCCGTTCGGAAAGTATACTTCTTTATATTTCCCTCTTCCATGTTGCATATTACGATTTCCAAATCTCCACGTCGTTTTGCTTTCGTATCACGTGTGATTTCAATCGCATGTTTTGGTTCTAAATTATTTTCAAATGCCTCCAAATTTTCCCAATATGCCAATTTAAACGCTTGTAATCTTGCATACACGCCATACAATTGATTATCGTTTGACGATAATAATTCTAAATTTCCAGCGCAGTAGCTGTTTTTTATGAAATCCGGTTGTACAGCTAGACGACAACAAAAATGACCAAACAAAGGCAATTTATTATTAAATTGGTTGTTATTCATATTGTTTGCCGGATAGTTTGTGGTCAGTGTCAAGTCATGCGTATGTGGTAGATCAGAAGCTTCAGAAAGTGTTAGTGTGGCAGTTGCGATCAGCTCAAATTTGGGACCTCTATAAAATTGAAATAGCTTTGTTAGTAAAAAAAAATTTTCAGCCAACTCAAAGATGATTTACTCACATTTTGGCATTGTTTAGTTCATCTTTCAATGTTGACGCGAGCCGCTTACCAACCGTTCGGCTTATCGAACTATGAATGGTATTTTTGATTTTACGCGGCGTCGACGCTATGGTTAAATCAGTTTCCATCATAACTGCGTACACTTCAAGCTTTAATTCGAAATCCGGTTCGACATTTGAACTAAAAAAAGGAATGTATTCATTTGACCGATGTATGAATATTTTAAAGAAACAACGTTATTTGTATATACTTACAATAGAATTGCATCATTGAAACTTATATCGGTAAGGCTTCTATCGACTGGACATAAAAGTGATGTGTCAAAGATATCGGTACCAATGCGAACCAAACAGAATACGGCAAATCGACGATGGTCTCCTTTATTTTTGAAGTGATCTGTATCGCGCCACATCAACGGCATACGAATTTCGCTCAACGAAACTTTTGCCGTGGTTTTCTGTTTATTTGCAGTTAATTTGCTAACCGTTTCGCTGCGATCGCGTTTCCTTCGTTGCAATTCAGCCATATAGGCTGTCATACGTTCATTTGATGTCAGTAAATTTTTGGCAGCCTCTAAAATTTGTGTATTTTGTGCTGATGTTAAATTACCTACGATGCAATTGAATGAAAAATTCATTAAGCATGTGATGGAAACGAAATGACTATTCATGAAAAAAAAAAAAATACCCGTGTATGGATTGTTGTTACATGCTGCTAGAAGCTTTGCAGAGCCTTCCCGCATCTTTATCTCCAAGTCGATTTTCTGCTCCAAATCCAATTCCTGTGCGCCAAAAAGAAAAAAATTGAACAATGTAATGAATTGCTTACTCATTATAATAATAAGTTTATTATTTTATTTTTAAGTACACATTTTTTCCCATGCAAAGATAGTTTTTTTTTTATCTCAATGTTTAACTATGCGGTTTTTACGATGTTTATCTAAATTCGTTCAGTAAATGACTTTATTGTTTTTTTTTGTATACATTGCTGCACGTGGTACACATTGAATTCGGTGTTGTTTTGTATTTAAAATACACCATTAGAAGATGATACTCGTGTGTGTATTTTGTATACGGCACACAAATGAACAGCTGGTTCTATTCAAAGATAAATGATGAATGAATCTTTTTAAAACTTTGCTAACATCCTGTTTCACATCCTTTTTGATGTGCAGGAAACTTACATAAGGGCAGTATTCTTATGCTTCACTCACCAAAAATGATGCACACACAAACTCAATCACACTCAAACAACTGCAAGCACAAACAATTTTGTTTTCATTTTCACACCAAACAATGACAACAATCTCGACAATGTAACTAATAAAATTCTAGTGATTTCGAACGAAAAAAATGAGCGCAAAAATGTGTATTACCTTCAGACTAGATGCAATTTGGCGAATATAGTATAAATCTAAGTCTTGTAAAACTTCTAGCTTTGGCATGATTTCGGTACGATCGTTGTTACTATGATAGAATAATTGTGAATTTTTATGTGCCGAACCGTCGGTGCTGTGACGATTCTTATTTGATTTGCCTCTCGAACTGCCGCGCAATGATAAATTGGCCAGTGGTGGGAAGCATGAATCCATTTTTTTCTCGTTTCTGTTTTTTTCGCGCTTTCTTACTTATTGCGACTTTTAAAATGCACTTTATGCTGTATTGTCGTACACTATATATTTATGTTTTGAGATCGCGTTGATTGTTACAATAAATTCAACATTGAGCATTTAATTGAGCTAGAACATCCATTTTTGTTCGTTGTTGGTCAATAACGGTTGCATAAATTTAATAAATATAAACGAAAGTGTCACAGCAATCGTAGCGTTATTTGTATTTGACGTTGGTGAAAATGTCGAATGATCTAATAATATTTTTTTTCTCTCAAACTATAGTGATTTTGAAATAAAACTGAATTAGGCAATTCTAGTTGTAGATCTCAGCAAAATGAAGTTCGGTTTCAATATCAAGTTTTGTTGAAAATAAAAATTTCTTTTGTTCAATGCTCAGACTGACGAGAAAAGAAAAATATGATTCGTATATTTCGTCTTTTGTTCTTGTGATGTTGTTGTTGTTGTTGTTTTTTACTCTCTTCTTATTTGTGTCTGTTCATTTCGTTTCTGTTATGGTTATGTGTTTCTTGCTTGTTTCGTCGATATCCAAATTATGTTCATTTGAATAATATTTTAAGTTCACAACGTTGGCAATCGGGCACTTTATTCGTACTCGTTCATTCTATTTAAAAGTATGTGTTTGCTCGCACTACAAAGTGACATCATTTTCAATCAGCAACAATATTCATGAAGACTCAAATGAACAGATGAAGAAGAAGAAGAAGAAGCAGAAACAGAAAAACGTCTGGATCGCCAAACAAATCAAATGCAATACTTTTACTTCACTCACGTCGAAGAAAATAACAAACTACGAAACTCTTTTAACTTATAGACACACATCGAAGCACAACTGAATGGACCTAAACCGAATTTTATTTTAATATGCAAATGTGACAAAATAACATATTAGAAATTTACTTCCGTCATTTTATTTAAATCTTATTTGATCATTCGCGTTTCTTTTGATGGTCTGTTTATGTGAAATTTTCGAATTTTCTTTTGACTGTCAAATTTATTCATTTCATAATTTCATTTTATATCATAAAACACTTGGACTTAAATATTCAAAATCCGGTCACAATCAAATTACGTATAGTCCGATGTGGTTTTCGATGTTTTATTTTTCAATTGAATTTTGTCACGTCTTCAATGGAGCTGCTTTTTGTATATAAAAAAAAGGGTGATCGTGAACAATATTATTTAATTGAAATACATTTTTTGTAACAAAGCACACACACAAAAAAAAAACTATTATCATAGTGTACACAGATCGCGAGACGAAAAAAAATATTCAGATCACAATGTTAATTTTTTGTTTCACTCTCTGTCTCTCTTTCTGTATGATGTAAAAAAACGTGGTCCGATTATGAGAATCTACAAAAATCACAGAATACTTATTGCTCAATGAATGTGCTTAATGAGTGTGTACATTTGAAAAAAACACTCGCACATATTATACTGAATTTATCTTACGTCAGAAAAAAAAGGAAAACACATCAAATTTTGAAACGATTCTGAACAGTACACGACTATCTCTCAAATACTACAACTGCTGCTCATCAGCAATTACAAAAAACAGTAAGGGCATAAGGCATTAGGCTCTTCGCACCGCATATTAATACACGCACAAAGACACATACAACACACTCGGCTCGCATACACTAACAACCAGTCAATCGGTTGTTGTGCTACTAATACAGTGCTTGTATATTTATGAAAATGTACACATAGCAATGGCCCAAACAAACAAAGAAATGCATGCCTTTCATTCGAACAGTATGTTTACGATCAGACTGTTTATGATAAGTAAACGAAAGCAACCAGAAGTACAAGAACTGTATACAAACAACGATGCATGCAAATGTGTGCACACGATCCCCATGTGAAAATGAACGAACACCCAACATTTATCCGAAAATGTTAAAATACGAGAGACATTGATAGTAGAAAATAAGGAACAACTATTCATACTTTCTCACTCATACCAAACACACTAGTACGATTCACTTACACACATGCACAATTCGTTCACACCGATGACCACATTGCGCACACTATCAATTAGCGTACGACAGTTCATGGTAGCAACAAAACATCTCTCACATTCATACACATATGACGCCGAAACAAAAACAAAACAATTTTTGTGTTGTTGTTGGTTTTTATTTTCGTGTATTTGTTGATATACAAACGAATTTTATGTTGCGCTTTTCTCTTTTCTCTCAAACTAGTTTCAATTTAACGCTTTTTTCGGTGCAATAGTGCGCATTTGAATTATTTGCGAGCATCAATTGCATTAGAAATAAATATGTACACACGTATATCACTTTCATGCCTTCCACCATAACTATCTAAAATTGTCTGGTGACAATTTCTCATTTTCTAACAATCAATTTCTATTAAATGCTGAACATATCTCTTGATTGTTAGAGAAAAAAAAACTGTCATTACTTTCTTATTTTATTCGCTTTTCGATTCATTTTAACGAGAAATAAAATGAATTACTTTCAAATGAATTGCACCAAGCTGCACCCAATGTTGCATTGCATGTGTGTGTGTGTGTATGTTTTATTTTTATTTCATACTTTCTAACGAACGGAACATTGCCAAGTCATTTTTCGAATCTATGATATTATGCCAGAATTATTCTTGATTGAATCGAATCATATTCGGTGAATTTTTAAAGGATTTTTGTTTTATCTTCATTTAATTTGGTTTTAGTTTTGCTACAACAAATTGTTTCAATGGTGGGCAATGATCAGAGAGTTCCGTTGAAATGGACTAACGCAAGTGCTAACGCATTATGAGCACAAACAATACGGTTCGGTGACAGTGAATCTAGTTGAAAACAAGTTTGCATCATATTAGGTAGATTTTTCTATTTGAAAACCGGTCGAAATTACATTTACGGTTTTTCATTTCTAGTTGTAAAAAATTATTAATTTTCTATGGATAGATTTTGCATTGAAAATGAATTAATGCCAATAAAATGATGATCGGTTCACATTCCAAATAAAGAATTCAGGATTTGGAATGTAAAATACAAATGCAGCGCTCAAAAACAAACAAAAAAATTGCACAAATATTTACATGCCAAAAGAATAGGTGCAGAATAACTTTTACCTTTTTAAAATTGCATTCAAATTGACTTCGGCGCTGTGCCAATGTATTTCGGCCAAAATTGGTGGTGCGTAACTCGCGATCAATGTATTCATCAAGTTCATTTTTCAATAGGCTCAAATCAATTTGATTGATGCTGTAGCATTTTCGAATCTTTGTTGTTGTATTATTGTTTCCATCCTGATTATTATTATGGCTCACGTTTGTTTCAATGGTTTTATAATTGTTCATATTTATATTTTTAGTATGGCAATTTAGTAGCGAACTATATTCATAATTATTGCTATCGTTATTTTTATTGTTGTTGTTAATATTATTGTTATTGTTCGTGTTTGTATCGTCCAACGTGATATTTGATCCATAAAGATCTGTTTTTGAGACAAATCCATTGAAATGACACGTAGAATGATCATTATTTTGTGGATTATCGCATAAAATGGACGACGATGTACTTGTTACGATCAATGACTTTGTATCATCATCACCGTTACGAAAACGAATCTGTACATTGTTAATTCCATCATGGATGGTCGATGAGACGGTGTTTAAGCTTTTTATTGAATGTGTTGGTTTCAGTTGACCATTTTTTTGCATCGGTTTATTGACCACAGCATATGTTGAAGGCATCGTATCGATCGAGTTATAGCTGTAGTCGATGATTGGTGAATCCGTTAAATTTTGCGTGGAATTCGAATGGCTTATGTTGACTATACTACTATAGTGTCGTTTCAGCATCGACGATGATTTTTCAATCGATTGATCGATTGCAGTCGATTGCGATCTAGTTGAATTCAATACCACCGATGATGAAATCGATGATAGATCAACAGCTGACGTTGATTTTATCGAATTTTTGTACTTACTGATGGTTTTCTCCAAACATCTTTCGCTTGTACTTGGATAACCATATGAAATTAACGATAAATTTGATGCATAATGACTATTTTGCCATGCACAATATTCATTTCGGTATGTATTGTAAAACGAATGACGCATTACCAGCGGCTTTTTTTGGTTTTGTTTTGGAGTTATTGCTTTCGTCGTATAACCATAATCATCGTCATAGTTTGGAATTGTTTGTACACTTGCATTTGCAAATCGTTTTGGTTGCGCCGCCAGTAAATTTGATGCTTTCGTTTTCGCTGGGCTACTGTTACCATTGCATTGTATGACATTATTGCCTAAATTTATATCCTTTATATCCGACGTTTGTATGTTATTGTATGGCGGTTTTTCGAAATTTTTACGCAATTCACGTACAAGAATCTTTCGGCCAGCCGACAATAAAAAATTTCGCTCAAACTCATCCAAATTGTCTAGAACTTTTTCATTGATGAATTTACCATTTTGTAATTTATTTTCGATTTGTTTTCGTGTGGGTTTACCACCGCTATCGTTGCCCGTCAAATTCGAGAATAACTCTTTGGAACTTTTCCATCTTTTGATAAGACTCGCTTTCAGGAAACTTTTTGTTCGTTCAACGCGGCTTAACGGTTTGGTTGCTTCTGTTGGGCATCGTCCAATACAATTTGGCGAGCCAATTGATATTGTGGTTGCCATTTTATGTTAATGATGCCAAACAGCCTATAGTGGTGTCCGTTTTTCTTTCACAATTCACTTCACTTTTTATTCAAATTTTATTACATTTATCCAAATTTAAGTGTTTTTCATTCAAAAAAAAAATGGTTTGAAAATCGTTTTATCATCACTATTCTGTATCAGTGGACCATCATTTTTTTATATGTGTTTCATTTTCATACATTTTTGTGCTTTTTCACAAAATTATATACAAATAAAAATAGTATTAACGTTTTACAATAAAAAAAAATGGTTTGATTCATTCACCAATTAGCGGTATTCATGTGTGACTTTTTGTGTGTGGCTTTGATTATTCAAAATTGCGTTAATATCTTTTGTCCCTTTGTAGTTTTCAATAGATTCATTTTTTTTTTAAAGAGACGTGTTTCGTTTTTTGTCCAACAATGTATTATTATCATCAAATAAGAGTTATATTTAAATGAAATCGCTGATATAATATGAACTATTGGCGGAGTCTGATGATGAAATGAAATACTCTGACCGCTATAAATTCAGTGCAGAAGGCAATCAATTTAATTCTAATTGCATTTCGTGTCATGTTTAGACGAAATTCCAAATGAATACCATTGAAATGATCTAATTTCATGTGCCAACAATTCGTGATGATTTTAACGGAAAAAATTAACTAGAAATTAGAGACACAACCGTCAAACACGTCGTCTTCGTCAAGCTAACTCTGAACCAGAATTTCAATCTACATTTCTTATAAACTTGAATCATTTTGCTCCAGATTGATATAGAACTGAACACACGGCATATGAAGTGAAGAATAAGTCCATTTAATCTATAAACTAGTTTTGAAAATTCTAGGTAAATTACATGGCAGAAAATCAAAAGAGAAGAAAAAAAAGTTTAATATAACAGACCACATAAAATGCTGTACACCTGATTTTGAGACTTGTACTGGCATGCGCATGTATATATGTAGCAACAGAAATGGGATTATCGGCGCAAATAATCCGTTATGTTAAGTGCATTTCTTCGATGCCTTATAATAACGATTATAGGGTGGATCACTTCATGTTGGGTGTAATTCATTTTAACTTGCGGCGGCCTATCATGCATTAAAATTGATTTGTAAAATGATAGATTAGTACATTGATTTCGAATACCTATGTAAATATGTTTACTTAAATGGTCAAAGTAATGATGTTTCGTGTTGAAATGAAAATTATTCCTAAAATTATACTCATTTAGAACGTCAATGAAGAATGGTCCAGTACACGTAAAAAAATGACCCAAATGACATGAACTGTGTTTGTATAGAAATTTCAAAACTACAAGCAATTAAAATAAAACGGTCATAGTACACGAATGAATGAACAAAACCTTCGCGAGAACGAATACATTGCAAACTTTGATAACACGCTCCGCATAAACGAACAAAAAAACGATCTGCTGATATCTCGGTTAATTTATCTAAACTGAATGAAAAAAAAAATGATATCGGTCCTTATTTTTTTCATAATATTAAATATTTCGCTATGTTGAGAATCATGAATCTCTATAACATTGAAGTTTTTCGTTTTCATTGCACAATACCAATGTACATAGTATATATTTAACCTCATCTACTTTAGTTCAATTAATATATGTCATATTTTGTGTCAATTTGTATAAATGATAAAATTGTTTAATTAAAAAATTTAAATACTTTTGGACATCATAATGACTCTTGCCGAAACTTAAATTTATGACACATTTGGTTTTTTTTCGGAATCGTCACTATATAATATGTTGATATTATTATTATTTTTAACATGTTTTGGAACATATGAAAAAACATTGTTTGTTCGTCATAGAACGAACTATTTTGAAAGGAATTGCTTGAATTTTTGCATGAAATTTCCGTTTCACATTATTTAAATAGCCCGTATACACCTTGAGTATTTATGAACGCAAAAATCCGTATTTTCAAAATGATCGGCACTAATTATTCAATTATTGACCGTTATTATTCAAATAATAAAAGAAATCTAAGCCACACAAAAAAATCCGTTCACAATTTGTCGGGACCAATTCCCAACGCCAGCAACGCGAATGCTGTTCGAATGTTTTTTTATTAAAATAATATACAGTTCAGTTAAGAGCTCTCTGCACTTAGTACATATCACCTGAAGATCATATCAAATACTAAACACATGAGTGTCGGGCCTCACGTTATAATCGCCAACATATCCATTGATATGTGATGCCAATTGGCATTGCTGTTTATTTTTGATAAACGCGTGTCTTTTTCATATCACTTGCATGTGAATCTTTCGGTCACCGATTCACCAAAACATGTTTGCTTCGCCGCGAATTCACATTTATAAAATGAATTTCGATTTTTGTTTTTTATTTAATCGACATATTATGCTTAAATTAAATGAATGATAAGATTCAATAAAATTCGAGAAAAAAAACACACACACACAATGTTTACCAGTGTTCTTGAGCGCGTGAAAGATTAACTGAGACTAAAGTTCGCACAGCAATGAATGGATGTATGCGCGACTATCTCAGTTCGTATCATACCAGTTTCAATGGGCAGTGCCTACCGCTCACATATGTGTACTTTGATTGTAGTTATTTTTTTTAATGGTTTTGTTTCGGTTGTGCAATTACAAAGGATTTACCGTTTATTCTAGCCACATATTTCTTGGTATCTGAACAGATCAAGTCCTATCAATTTTTGATGGAACGCGAATTGAATTTAAAAGCAAAACGCACATTTTTTTTCTGATGCGTGCATTTATTGCCGACATTACTTTTTTTTGCTGTAATGAGCCATTAGAATGTAAAAAATATCATCGCATTGCTCTACGGAAGAGAAATTAATTTTACGAGATAAATCAATGTAGTGGAAAACAATTAGCCATGATTGCAGTCCGTTTGATTGTATTACACAAAAGAAAGTTCAAATGTAACTTAAGAAGAGTATAAATTCAAAGGGAAATTTCGATTCAATTATATTTAATTTAAAAAAACACACACATTTTAAGTGGCACTTTTTTGTTTATTTCATCAAATTTATAACGTATACAAATACTTACAATGTTTTTCAAGCTGCTTGATAATGTTGAAAGTCTCATGGACCTTCGGCGATTTATTGTCGAACTGAAATCACTTAAACGATACAAAAATGAGTTTTCTTTTGATTTATTTGCGTTATTCGATTTTGAAGTAAGAAACGGAAGCGATTTTCTAGGAGCCATTATGAATTGGAATGATTTTAATGCACTTTGAATAATATTATGCACTTAGAGATGCACAAAATAACTATACAATGGAATCTGCAGACGTTTGGTTTAATTCAAATTTTGTTTGACATCTCAATCACTCTAAAGTTAGACGCCATTGTGCAGAACAAAACCTTATAAATAGTCTTTTTACGGAGCTTTTTTAAAAGCTTTTATTTCAAGTTGAAACATTGTCGAATAATAAATTTCTTGAAATAAATAATTTTTATTTTACGTAAAAATCATAAGATTATTAACTGAAAATAATCAAGGACGTGTTTAGTTCATTTATATTAGTCAAAATAACTAAAAAAATGCGTCAATAAAATTGAATCAGCGACATCTTTTGGTTTATGAGTCAACAAATTTTAAATATGAATTTCCTTTCATAAATTCTTATTGGAAAATAGAATTCTGGACTTTTCAGAAAATAGAAATATATTTCAATTCATGAAGGGAGAAGATTCAATCTCTTTTGTCTCTATAAAGGTACTGCATTCCAAATAAATAAAAGCGATTTCTTGCTAAATGTATGAGTAAAAAAGCAATTCAAATTTTATCGAAATTGATGTCCGATCGATGAATAAAAAAAGAGTATAAAAGATGTTTCAAGTTGCTGCTGCAATTGTGCAAAAAAGTTTTCTAAATTTGAATCGATGCACAGAAAATTATCCAAGTGTTGTTCACTTGATTACAAACTTGCACAGCAAAACCTGTCTATTTGTGTAAAAAAAACATACCAAAGCATCTTCGTATTCTTTTAAGTGGTTCGCATGTAAAAGACACACCAAGAGCAAAGTCAGAAAATCATTTAATTTTTTCTGTTGTACATAGAGCATTTTCAATTTATGAGTTAATATAAGACTGTAAGAAACATGTAAATTTAAAAGTTTGTTTTGTTGAATATTTCATATGTACTATGGCACTTTTTTTGGATGAAAATCAAAAATTGCAAACTTTCGGCATAATTTATTAAGTCATAACTAAATTGAAATTGCGTGAGACCTAAATAATATTCTTTAATATTCAAATTGAAGAGAACGCATAGAATAAGAAAACCAAACCGAATATTTTATGAAACTTTTTGTTTTGTGTCTTAATTCTTAGGTGGTCGGCTTTTAATTTTTTTTTTGCGTAAATGGAAGAAGCAAAGAAGTTTGGCATGCAAAACGAATAAAAATAACATGCATTTACAGAAAAATTCATTACGTAATTTCAATATATTTTTTTTGTTCAAATAAATTAAAAAATAATATGAAAAATATTTAAATTCATTTAATGCTCAAATGTCAAAATGATTACCGTTTCAATTCAAAATGTTTTTGGTTCTCATATTTCTACTACATAATTCATTGCAGGTAAATTGATCCAACAAAAAAAAGTATTCTCTGTGAAGAAAAAAAAACTGTTGAATTGATTGCAAAAAGTTGTGAAGATACGGTAAAGTGTTTCTGTAATAAGAAAAAAAATGTCATGTATGAAGAAGCCCAACATCGAGTGAATTTCAATGTTTATTTGGTTTGTCTCTCTGCTTTACTTGTTTCATACAATTTTCATCTCTCGACGGTCCTCTCCGTCTCTCTATTTTTCTCTCTCTCCCACATACACACATAATGAAACGAGTCAATTGATGTTCACTCGTTTGCACGCACACACGTACGGTCACCGAAATGTCGCTGAAGAATAAAATGAATGAATAAAAAAAACACCCGAACGAGTAAATGTGTGAGCACACACAGCAACGATGGATAACAACAAATTGTACTATGCTTTAGTTGTTGGTTTTTTTTGCAGTGAGAGAAAGAGTGCAATGAAAAGAGAAACGATAGCAGCATTGATTATTTGCAAACACATACTGAACGTGTTGTGTAGACGAATTGAAAAGAGATGGCATTATTGCAGGAGAGGATTCACCGAGAGAGCGCAGTTCCTGCTCTCCGTCTCTCTCATTCTCTCTTTCACTCTGTCGGTGTTGTGGATGTGCCATTGTGTGTGTGTATGTGTAAATGCCTTCAAAACCAATTCACCGTATATTTACTCTCTTCAACGTATCAACCGAAAATCCATAACAAGAAGAAGAACATGAAACAACATCATCGTGTATGCGTTGAATCGAAAATCGTCGAACGGTCAGTCGCTTATGTGATTTGATTTACGCTGGATGAGTGAGGTATTCACATATTTTATTTAAGCGCGATATCAATAGATATTCTTTGCGATTTCAATGAAATTACATGTTAAACATTTTCAATTTTGTGAGTTAAATTTCGTTCCTGGTGCTTAAATTTAATCGATTCACACCGAATACTGATTTGATGTTCTAAAACTTGTGATTTTTTTATACATAAAATTCCGTTGCTTTTCTTTCACATTTGTCACTCTGTGCAAGACTTATCGCTATGAAGAAGAAGCATTTTATATGTGAAATAAATATTGAGTACAAATCTGTGCTTTGAAAATAAATGTGATTGTTGTGATGTTTCTCTTGCGTAGAATAAGATATCGTTCTTGTTCAGTTGGAAGAATATAAAAAATTCTAGTCGTTCAACGACGAATTCCGCATATCAGAACAGCTCACACGCTATCATACACTGAATTGCAAACTGGACATTCCGTTCAGTTATAGTTTTACGAATGAGAAAATAAAACAATTCGGATTCAGTTGACAATGATTTTATAATCAAATTAAAATCACTAGAACCGTTTTTTCACACATTTTTACACATGGTAGAAGTGTCAATAATATAAAACATTCTTTTTTGCGGCTTTATTGCAATATTTTATGTACATATCGTTTCCTTGGCCACTTCTTGAATTTGTCGATTTTTCGTGTAATACTCTACGCAGTATTGAGATTTGTTAGATCTTTATGTTATCTACATTTGATTAAGAATTTATAATATTTTCCATGTTCGTCTCATTCTATTTCACATTTAATTCCACTCTTAAGTTAGAAGCAAGTTCCTCTTATCTCAAAATACAAAGTTGCTGATAAAAAAAGTTTTTGAGCTCTTGGATAAAAGTAATGCTTACCCAGTCTTATCTGCAAGTCCGATGGGGTTCATGTTACACTACTTCCTGATACACATGATAAACAATAGCAAAATGGTCAGCTGATAAGTTTTTCGTTCAGCCAAATTTTCATTCACACATATTAACACACAAAACAATCGACATTTGTTTTTCAAGTGTCCATTTTATATGAGAATTCATTCAATTCTATCGAAATTAAATGACGTCAAAAAAAAATATTATTCGAGTTTATTACAGTTAGTCATTAAATAAACAAATGGTTAGAAAGTAGATAAGCGAAACGATAAAAACCTGAAGCAAATTGCGAGAAAAAAAACGCCAAAATTCAATATAACGTACGAACGAGAAAAAAAAAACACAACAAACAATGAAAATCTAGTGCATTCAGATTTACAGAAAAAAAAGGAACTAAAACATTGTGTTAGTGTTTGGCATTCATTTTTACATTGTTCATGAATTTGATAGAAAATGTTTATTTAAAAAAAAAAAATAATGTGTTTCCAAGTTAAATGCGCGACACGACCCTTTCTATTTTTTGAAAATTATCGGAAGTTTTTTTTCGCCGGAAAATATAATTTAATTTGGTGACGTGTGATTTAAATTGGATCACAGGATAACATCGCCAAATATGGTATATTCATGTTTATCAGTCTACAGACTACTAAGATGTTGTAAGGCAAAAAAATGGTTTAATTTGAACAGCGATTCAAATTCAACACACGAAAAAAAAACTTAGAACAAAAATATGACATGCCGTGCCAATATTCTGCTTGCATCATATGCAAAAACGTATATATGTACATCGCCGAACCGAACGATTCTTAAATAAATAGACGAAGAGAAGCAAACAAACGAAAAAAACAAGAACACACTGGAACATTGAGTGCAATGTGATGAACGGCAGTCTAAACAACCGTTCGATGACATTAACGGTGAGTACAACTTTTTTTATTCATTCTTTCTCTTTCTCTCGTTTTCGTGCATATGTGCATCGATAATAAACCATTGACAGTCCTTTTTGTTGATTTCGGTCATTGGTTTGCTATCACTCAAAAGCAAATAAACCAACAGTCTACCGATATAAATTTTAAATTGCTTCGAATTGTTACGATACAAGAGCTACCATATCAAAGTCGTACCATTTGCATTTCATACAATCTGAACAAAAAAATGCAAACAAGAATATTCAATAAATTCCAAAGTTCAGTTAATCCATTCTAATTCAATTCTTTTTTCGTACCAACGGAAATAAAATTGAAAAAAATAATAATCAGATATTCGGATTTTTTTTATACCCTGAATTGAGTTTTGCAGTCATTGGCATGGTTCATTATTTGTGAACAAACATCCATAATTACGCAGTGTGTGGTAAAAATAAAATAAATACGCCCGAATTACAGTTCGATTGACTGCAACTGGCATGCAATATTATATGACAATTTGGATATTACTCATGATATTTGATAACGACAAATTTTATTGAGCAGAAATATTTAGCACAAATTGAAAGATAACATTTTGCATGAAATTGACAACATTGAGCTATCGAATTGATAATATTGTGATTTCTCAATTGCGACACACTCACACATTCCACAACACACAAAAACAATCCACAAATCTTCGGTCAACCAATCTCGGTTACAATGCTCATTTGAAATTGTTGTTGAATACTTTATCGTAGAGGTGGTTATTAAACTGCAAATAATGAATAAAAATAAACACATAAATTTTATTGCATAAAAATCTAGAATGTAATAATGATGCGGTAGCAGCAACAAAAATGCGACAATAACATGACGAAAAAGTAAATAAAGAGAGAAAAAAAAACAATTTAAACAAAGAATGGCGCAGTGCAAAGAAAGTACTTTTAACACACGCACACGAGCACACAGCAATTAAATGGATGAATTTCCCATAACCATAATTCTGATTATACGTGTGAAAACTGTGTACAACAATCGAAAATATGAACTAATCAAATTAGAACACTGTTGATCAATTATCGCGGTTAATTATCGAAATTGGGAACAAACTCCAGGTGTGTGACGTAATTTCAATGATTCGGTTTTTCGTCGAAACATTCATTTTTCACATAACATTTTTTTCAAAAAATTTAATCGGTTAATATTGATAACAATTCAATTTACGAAATCATTCCATTGTATTCTGATTTCCGGCGACAAACGAATAAGGTGGAAAAAGCGTACAAACGACGACGACGGAACATAGCATTATGACAAGCAAATGCAAAAAGCTATGATTTATTTACCATTTGCAGTTTGAACAAAGACTGATGGCACTTCACTGGAAAAATTGTCAATTTGATGAAAAAAAAGCTATTGAATTCGTTCAAATAACATAATGACATCCATTTTACATTGCAGCACCAGATGCATTCTGAAAGGAATGCAACACATGAATCTGAAGACATGTGCAAATTTTATAAACAACTCTGACATGATTACGTCAAGATACATACTACAAACATACCGAGAGTAGTAAACACGAGTTTGTTTGCATGTTGAATGGTCAACATAAATGAAGACCAAGTAGTTCTTTGTGTATGAGTTATTAAATAAATATTGAATCCGAAGTTATTTTGTATTTTTTAACACTGCACCACATATTATTCACGACATAGTCATCATCTATAGGCAGAAGGCAGAATATTCAAATTTCGATTTATGTGTTAATCAAATATTGATTTGACCTAAAGAAGATTCGTTTTTTTTTTTCTCTCGATTTCATCAATTGAGTTGAGTGAATGGAGTTCGCAAAATAAATAATAAATTTATAAATAAAGACACATTTTTCTAAATATTGCTCTTTTTTATATATAAAGAACAAGTTATTCAATACTGAAAGCATGTCGTGCAATAACATTGTTCTTAATATCACGTATTTATGTTTATAATGGCAAGCACAATTTCTTTGTGTGTGTTTTTTTTAATTGAAATTCATTATGAATGCATTTCGCCATATAAAAAACAAGCGCAAATACATGTTATGCTTGAGAAAAAGGTGAAGAGACAGTGGAAAGATGAGAGTTGTTTATTTATGCACATGACATGCGACATAAATCATAGATTCAATGCCAACTGGATGCAAAAAACTTTCATCTATCGATCATGCATTATGTGCATGCTAGCATTTAATATTTTAGTCATTTTCGTTGAATTTGCGGCGTTCACTAATAAAACAATACGTGATTACATTAAGAGAAAAAGATAGAATGCAGTTTCATTAATTTAGCAACAAAAAAAGAGTCATTGAATGAAAGTCAAAACTTGCTTTTCAACCCACTTTAAACCAAAATATTTTCTCGAATTCCGGAACAAGTATGTGGCATGAGTACGAGAACATCGTAATCAATTTCATTGTACGAGAATTTGGAGGTAAAAAATGTTGCTTGAAATTCATCAATTATCTTATTACGTGATATTTTTTTACAAACTTAAAGGCCGTTTGACTGATGCAAGGCTTTCGAATAAATTGAAAATATTTTATGCATCATCTGTTAAAGTAAAGAAACCAAAGACGAAAATCATCCAAGCAAAATTTCGAATTTCTTTTTGTAAAAAAAAAAAAAAAACAAATGACGAACAACATTGCAAACAATTTCAAAAAACAAAGTTGAATTAAAGAAAAAAAAAACAAAGTTGAATTACCTGATCTCCATTCAATTTCAAGTGAGCACACACAAGAACATTTTCTTACGAACGTAGTATACATTCATGATTTATTTACTCTCCATTCCTCAATACACAAAACGAAGTTGTTGTTGCTGTTGTTGTTAATAATTAACTATCAATAGATGACATGCAAATTTCGTCATGCTATGGCTCACATATTCTTTAGCAATAACAAAAATGCTGCGTGTATTCGCATGTTTAGAATATACCGTAGTAAAATGTTCGTTTTGATTAAAACCAAATCTTTCGAAATGGCTGATCGCGGAGTTCATCGATCGCGGTGAAATGTTGTTGTCTCGACCTTATACAAAAACACGAGTACACGTTTTCTCCGTATGTAAGAAAATAAAGAGAAGATTAAAATTGTTTTACAGATTAAATATGCAAGACGATCATTGATTATATGTACGCACATGTTGTAAGAATCAGAAATTAATCAATA